TGCTTGTCGGCGGCGTGCTCGCTCACTGCCCCCTTTGCTGACGTTGTTTTTTACGATAACTTCCAGTGACTTAGTGAGTAACAACAACAAAATTAGAGAAGAAACGTGTCTTAATATGCTCCCCAATTGCCTACATCTATACACTCATCAAACGCTGTTCTCGATTGCTTTTTGATTGACAGCCGAGGTCTGCTTGTCGGCGGCGTGCTCGCTCACTGCCCCCTTTGCTGACGTTGTTTTTTACGATAACTTCCAGTGACTTAGTGAGTAACAACAACAAAATTAGAGAAGAAACGTGTCTTAATATGCTCCCCAATTGCCTACATCTATACACTCAGAGATAAACTGCGAAGTCAGTTTAAAATGTTAAAATTACTCACTGAGAACAGGGCTTGTGGACAGCGGAAACACTTCCTCATTGAACCGGATGTGGTACTGTTCGTGTGCTTGTACTTATTCTTCTTCTTGGTGAATTGGATGTCTTTAGTTCATATCGCCCCCTACTGTCCGGGAAACCACAAAGGCGTTTGGCAAGCAATCTGAATCTAATTTACAGTATTAGCCAAGCGTGCAAAAACACAAAAGCATACCTGTCAACTTGTACGTTTTCCCCGTATTTTATACGTTTTTTTTATCATTTCAAATGACGTACGGCGTATTAGAACTTTTATACGGAAAATAAAATTGTGAACCGATCTCACAAAGACCATTTTGGCTCAAATCCAGATCGTCTCACCTGCTGGTAGCCAACGACAATGTCGTCGATCGCTACTATTGTCACGGCAAACCAGCAAAAGTAATCCTCAATCGTATATTTTTTATCATCGCTGCGTACGGTCGGATTGATAAAACATGATGTGCGCATGCGCGGTAAACTGTTGTTCGGGTTTTCTTTGTAATGGGAATGTAATCATTTATAAGGGCAGCCATTAGCCGAGGTTGACAGTTATGCAGACACTAAATTAGGGCATATCTTGAAGAACCACAGATTTCAAGGGCAGCTGATCCACTGAGCTGGTGGAAATACCGAGCTTCCGTCTACCCCCGTTTGATCAAAGTAATGGAGAGTATATTGTGCATTGTAGCAACATCGGTCCCGTCAGAGAGGGTGTTCTCAAAGACTGGACAAATAATTACTGAGAGAAGGAGCCGGATCAGCCCGTCCAAGTTGAAGTATTTAGTTTTGTTGCCTGCAAATTTAAAATAAAGCAAGGAGTAGCTTATGTTTGTTTTGTTCACTGCTGCTGTTGCAGTTAATACTCACTATTTTTGTTATGATGCAGCATGTTTGATTGTTTATTTTAATTTTTTTTTGTAGGATTGTATATTTTGTTGTTCTACTTCTTCCTTCATAACTTTGCTGCTGTGAATTGTGAATTTCTCCACTGCGAGACTAATAAAGGTTTTCTTTCTTTCTTTCTGATGAATCAATTGGTTTTTGTTTTTGAAAAACGAATACGTTACGTCACGAGTCTTCCCTCTGAAACCTTTTCAACTTAAATGTTTTTGTTTACATTTCAAAGTGTATGGTACTGCACTTTCACACGCACAACTTTAAACATTAACCATACATTCCCGAGGGGACTTGTGACTTCTCATCTGCTTCAGACGGTGTTAGTGTGAATTAAATGAGCGACCGTGAGCATGTTGCTGGACGTTGTCCTTTGGGTTGCTTTCGCGTCCAACTGGGCCTTCGGTCAAACCGAGGCTATTACTTCGGATTTAACATACGTTGCTGCTGTCTACGAACACCGCGTGATCCTCAACCCGGACCCTCATATCCCCCTTTCTCGGCTGGATGCCCTGCAACACATGCGCAAGAACCTGGCCGTATTCGAGGAGCAAGCCGACCTGGCTGCCCGGCAGGTACTGCATTTTATTTTCAAGATTTTATGTTTATGATTGTTTCACTCTGTTCCGTTCTTACTGACCATACAGAATGGACGGTTAAAACATCTTGCTTACTTAACTTTTATTGGCATAACTCTTGAAGTACAAGCACGTAACTCAGTCTCGTAACATCGGGGAGAACATACGTCACTTCCTGTTCCCTCACCCAAAGCTGTCCCACGAGCAACATCAACTCAATCTAAAAATACCATTGCTTCTCTCTTCTTTCTACCCACAGTCTTGCTGCTGTAGACTGTAAATTTCCCCAGTGTGGGACAAATAAAAGAATATCTTAATCTTATCATACAATTATTATTCAGTTTCTCAAAGGGCAATTGAACTTAACGTATATTTTATGAGGTGGCAAAATTAGTCACTGTGTAGTAAAGTAAGTATATTTTTTGAAAAAAAAAAGTTTAAAAAAACACGTTTTACATTCCTCTTCTGACAATCACTTTTTCTGTTGATCGTTAAGTTAAACTTTAACCAAAACGCACCCTTACATTCATTTCATTGTAGGTTAGCTATCTATACTGTACTGTACAGCATGCACCCTGGTCCATGATGTTAGTGCAGTAATGAGCATATCCTTCATGAAAACAACCCTATCCTTCTGTATCAGGGTGCCCAGATCATTGTCTTTCCGGAGGATGGTCTTCACGGTTTCAACTTCAGCCGTTCGTCCATTTCCGGTTACCTAGAGACCATTCCTGACCCCGAAAAGGAAAAATGGAACCCGTGCACAGAGTCAGAAAAATTTAATAATACAGAGGTACACAACATTGCTGTGCTTTCAAACAGTAAATGTTTCAGTTTTATTCACTTGAATGTATGCTTTCTGCTGACCAGGTTCAGCAGCAGTTGAGCTGCATGGCTCGCCGTCACAACCTTTACGTGGTGGCCAATATGGGTGATGTGCAACCGTGCCCTCTCCAGACAGACCCTACGTCTTCCTGTCCCACAGATGGACGCTGGCAGTTCAACACCAATGTGGTTTTCAGGTGCAAAGCCTCCAAAATGCTTTCCAAACTGTACGTGGTCAAGAGACTCCAAAATGTTCTCACGCAGGTCCGACGGACTGTTGGTGGCGCGCTACCATAAGCAGAACCTTTATTTTGAGGATGCTTTTGACACGCCGCCACAGCCTGAGATCATCAGTTTTGAGACCACCTTTGCGGGGAGGTTTGGCCTAATCACCTGCTTTGACATCCTCTTCTATGAGCCTAAAGTCACTCTACTGGAGATGGTGAGAAGATGACACTGAATTGAAGATTGAATTATCTGTAGGTGCGAGTTGCTTAAATGTACCCTCTGATTGGCAGCAGTCCCAGATATACCCCCGCCTCTCAAAAAACCCAGCTTGGATAGGACAGGAAACGTTTAAAAACCTACCTTTTATAAAAATTTAAAATCCTATAACATTATTTCTAAGTATGTGGTCTTTGAATTTCATCCTCCAGGGGGTGCGTCAGCTGATCTTCCCCACCGCCTGGATGAACCAACTGCCCCTCCTGGACACCATCCAGTTCCAGCGGGCGTTCAGTCTGGGCTCTCACGTCACGCTGCTCGCCGCCAACATACGCAGTGACCGTCTCATCATGACCGGAAGTGGCATCTACACTCCGTTTGCAGCAACCTACCACCACGCGCAGAGCGGAGACCCGGAGGAGGGCCGCCTGCTGGTTGCCAGGATACCCGTCCTGGGCGTGGCCACGGAATATGGCCAAGTCCAGCGGATAGCAGCAGATTTGAGCTACTGTCACCATGACGACTGTCCTTCCGATCCGACACCATCCTCCACAATCACCTCCACCATGATGCATGATCCATTTAAATTTGTCCTCCTGGCCAACACAGAAGGCAACCTGAAGGTGTGCGATGGCGCCTTTTGTTGCCGCCTACAGTTTAAGCGCTCGCCAAAAAGTAACAGTGATGAACTCTATGCACTGGGAGCTTTTGCGGGAACTCACACTGTCAACGGGCGTTATGCTGTGCAGGTACGTGGCAAAAACTGGGCTAAAAAGAAATGCTAAAAAGTCTCCACCACAGGGAAATTTGACGCACCAGAATGTGCTTACAGGTGTGTGCAGTCGTTCGTTGTGCGGGGCCCGAGGCCAGCTCATGTGGACAGGAAATCGAAGAGGCGGAGACAACATTTGATTTTGTTCTGGAGGGTGAGTTTGGGACCAACTACGTTTACCCGTCAGTGCTGGTGAGCCGTTACATCCTGGAACAGCCGGAACGGGTGGAGAAAAGTACAGGGGGATGGGTGACCATGAAACATTCGAACACAGAAGGCGGGCTGGTCACCGCGTGCTTGTACGGCCGAGTCTATCACCTGGATAACAAATGACCCGCTACGATTCTGTCAGGAGACAAAACATATTCAATGTGGACAAGATGAGAATTGTGTCAAAAATCTTGGAACAGGGAATAAAAACAAATATCTTTATTCTGCGTCCTCTTTACAAACATTGCACCATGTAGTTTTCATCTCCTACAGGAAAGGTGCTCATTCCTGAAAAGGCATCAAGAGTTCATGATTACGCACTCGTGCACTTACTCACTCAAACATCAAGGAGTTTGGCTGCTGATTCCACAACAGTTCTTCATAAAAAGAGGTTGCATCCGCTACCTTTTCCAAGCTTTCTAATTCCTCTCAATTCCAATTCATACAGGCGTCAATCGAGATCAAAATCAAACTCTTCATCCACCTGGTCCCAGACAGAATATGCAAGTTTTTGTTCCCAAGTCCTACTTTTGTCGAGTTTTTCTTTTTTTCCACAATTGCAACGCGATCCTGACGGTATGAAGTAAGGATAGTCCCCACTCTGTAGGACCAGGTACCAAATGCTCGCCACTGGTTAGGAGAGAGGATACCTCAAAGAAATGTATTTGTAGGAGAATCAAGTAAGCACTGCAGTATTTGTTATTTGAAGGTTTCACAAAAAGATATCCACTCGAGTGTTTTTTGTCCCCTCTTCCTTTGTGTTTTCTAAGTGTCAGTGATCTGTTCGAGGCTCCTTCCCGAATGACAAACTGGCCTTCCGACACGATGAGAAGTGGTAGCGGTCCTCAGTAGGTCTCTGAATCCGAGTCGTTCAGTTCTTCGTCAGTAGTGACACAGGACAGGGGGCGCTCAGGTCTACAGTACGATGCGCGGTCGGGCCTCAGAGGGGGAAGGCTTTCAAAGGCCACGCCCTTCGCAACGTGATTGGAAACAGGGTGAGGGCTGATGACCATGTGCGGCAGAGAAAAGGCGGGCAGGGTCGCTACGGTGACCATGGGCGAGGCGGGCATCATGGAGTTGAGGATGAGCGCCAAGCAGTCGGCCACGTCGCGGGTGGGGGCGCAGGCCAGAGCGGGCGTGTAACCTAAAGACATGGGAGGGAGTGAAGACGGAGGAGCTTGTTTGTTTCAAACGTGAATGCTCACCGTTCTCATCCACAGCTTGCACGCTCGCTCCTTTTCCCAGAAGTTCCTGGACAACGACCGTTAAACCGTTTTTGGCCGCAACGTGGAGCGGCCTGCGAGGGAGGATCAAAGTGAGTGGACCGTGACCGAGAGCGTCTGGCCGTGAGCTAACGTGACCACGTACGTGCGCAGAGAGGCGTTGGTGCAGTTGATGAGATTCTTATCTCTGATCTTCTCCAGAATCAACAAGGCGCACGTCTCGTGACCCTGACAGAGACAAAACAGTGCGCAGTGAGTAAAATCTCACGTCAAAGTCAATATGAAAAGTAGCCAAATAATTTCCGGTATTTATTTTGTTTTGCCTTGTGACGATAAGCGGTTCAGATAATTGATGGATGGAAATCATTCTGTTAAAACCACACAAACACGTTCTTTATCCAGCCACCAATTTCTGTATACTATCCATCCATCCATTTTCAAATCCGCTTATCCTCACAAAGTGGGCAACCCGGTGGTCGACTGGTCGACCTCACAGTGCAGATTTCGATTCCACCGCCGGCCTTCGTGTGTGTGGAATTTGCATGTTCTCCCAGGTGCCTGCGTGGGTTTTCTCCGGGTACTCCGGTTTCCGCCCAGATTCCAAAAACATGCGTGGCAGGTTGATGGAACACTCAAAATCTTCCCGAGGTGTGAGCGTGGATGGTTGTTGTGAGGATAAGCACATCAGAAGATGGCTGGATTATCTTCAGGGTGGTGGGCGTGCTGGAGCCGACCCCTGCCGTCTTTGGGCAGTCGGCGGGGTCCACCCTGAACTGGTTGCCAGCCAATCGCAGGACGCAAAATAGATGAACAACCATTCACACTAACAATCGCACCTAAGGACAATTTGGAGTGCCCAGTCAACCTGCCATGCATGTTTTTTTTTTTGTTTTTTTTTTGCAATGTGACAAGAAACCGGAGAAAACCAACGCAGGCACGGGGAGAAAATACAAACTGAACACAGGAAGGCCAGAGCTGGGATCGAACCGGGCACCTCTGCACTGGGAAGCCACCGTCCTAACCAGTGCACCAACCATATCCCACTCATGTTTTAGGCGACTTGGAGACTAAGCTGTCTTTTTATCACAAAATAATAAATACCTCCAAAAATAAGTACGGCTATTATTAGAAGAGCAGGGTAAATCGTAAAGAGATTACAGACACAGTTCCAGTCGTTACCTTGCTACAAGCCAAGTGTAAGGCTGTGTTCCTGTCAGTGTCTTGAAGAGTGAAGTCCGCTTTGCTGCTGCTCACCAACACCTCTGCAACGTAGCACAGTAGCAAGAGTTACATAAAGCAGCTCCTCGCAAAGTCAGAGAAGGTGAATATCGTGCCGGTACGGACCCACGGCATTGGTTTGCCCGTTGAGAGCCGCCATCATCAGCGGCGTCCTACGCGTGTGCTTGTCTGCAATGTTGGCATGAGCTCCGTGACCGAGCAGCAGGGAAATGCATTCAGCACGGTCTGCGAAAGCGGCGGCGTGAAGCGGGGACCTGCATCGGCGGGGTCGCAAAGCCGTACCCGTGAGAACAGCGAGTAAATGACACTTTGCACAGCGAGGACTCACAAAGTGCATCACATCATTCAAATACAGTCATTTATATTGTCAAGGTCGGGCAGAATCATTGTGTGTCCAAACATTTTTCCCCCACAAATCAATACTATTAGTTTGTCCTTTATTGGCGTGCATTAATTGAATTATCTCGCATGAATTATCTATGCATTTAATTCATAAAAAAATATACAATACACTAACATATAAAAAGATATGAAATACAAATCTATAAATTCCTGTACAGTGAAACGCCTCTACAACGAAACCTACATGGGCGAAAATACCCTCTAGTGTGAAAAGATTTTCACGCATGACAGCCATTCCCATTTTTCTGCTCCCCCTACAACGAAAAGTCCCCCTGTTCCGTTATACGAAATCGTTTTCTCTGCTCTTGCCTCGCAACTAGATTCACTACAACGAAAACAAGCCTTGCGCAAAAGTCTCATCCAACCTCAGCAGAGACCAGGCAGAACCAGAGTTGGACATTTATGGGCATCAGAGGCAAATCTAAATGTCGCTCAAAATGCCAATTTTGTCGTCACTTCTGTGCCTTTCACCTGCCCTTGGCGTCAGTGGAGTCAATGATGTTGGCGCCCAGGGAGTCGATTAACATCTCAGCCACTCCTTCATTGTCGTTCATTCTAAAACACACAACGCACATTGTCACTTGTGCCTGTGATCGCGTCAGGCATTCATGTGCACAAATATTAGTATTTGCTTACACCGCACAGTGCAATGGGCTGAATGTGTTCCCTTTTATCTTCCTGAAGACTTCCTGCTCCAACAACAACTCCACGCAAGCGTCACATCCTGAAAAAAAAAAGTTAAACTTAAAACGTTAATTTTTTTTTTTTTTTTTCCCAGCTTTCAGTTTCAGGCTGAGGTTGAGTTACCGCTGTAGCAGGCCCAGTGTAGCGGCGTGTAGCCTCTGTTGTCAGTCAGCTCCAAGAGAGCATTTGAGGTGCCGGGCGACTGCAGCATAGCGCCAAGGACGCCGACACGGCCGCAGGCGGACGCCAAATGAAGAGGGGAGAGACCGCGAATGTCCTTCACACACGCGCTGGCCCCACGCTGAAGAAGAGCCTCCACACACTCCTCCTGGCCTGTCACTGCCTGTGTCGACATAACATAGCTCAAATGGTAAACGAGCACCTTAGTGATAACATCGTGAGAGCACAGCGGCAGCGCATTTTGTTCTAATGAATCCACACCCACTAACATGATTCATCTCACCCCTCGGTGAAGGGCCGTCCTGCCCCAGCAGTCCTGAACCTGGACACTGGCTCCTTGACTGAGCAGTGAATATACACACTCAGTGTGGCCATTCAGCACAGCTAACATCAGCGGGGTCCTTTGTGTAAACGCACACACACACATACACACACACACATATTGATGACTACTGATCAATCATTAGGACTTTGGTCAAAGTGTTTGCATAAATTTTCATAAAAGGAAGGCCGGCATGATGAAATCAGCCTTCCATAACTCACTGCTTGTTGACATCGAGTGCATCCAAATTGATGTGCTGGTCATTGTTGCTCATGAGAAGACGCAGGCACCCAGAGTGGCCATTTGTAACTGAGGCACGCACAGACATGCACACACAAACACCAAGACAGTGGGATTCACTTCACAAAAATATATGCACTCCTTTTTTTTTGGGCTCACATTTTCCTGGAATTATGGTAAAATATGTAAGATGAGGTAAAGTGAGGCAAATGTGACATTTGACTGATTCAAGAAGCAGTCCCTCTGGTAATATGGTTGATATTTCATCGACCAGCACTACCAAAACTAATTCTGATGAATCCGGGCAGATTAGAGGCAGCGCATAGATTTAAATGGGATTGGATGAAAACATACAAAAACAGCATAGATTGCTGGCAATAAATTAAGACAGCTAAATGAAAAAATATATATATTAGCATTGAGGTTGTAAACGTAGGTAAGTGTACAGCTGAGTCCACTTGTGATATGGAGTCATGTGAAGCAGACTTATTTTGTCTACCTGCAGCATGTAGAGCTGTCATTTTCTGGGAGTAATCGCAGGCCATGGGTGAGGCGCGGCGGTGTAGCAGCAGCGAGACGCACTCCTGGTGTCCCTTGGAGCAAGCCAGGCTGAGAGGAGTGTGGCCTTGCGGGTTACGGACGTCCACGTCTGGCATGGAAGACAAGAGGACTTCTAAGGCTCCGCAGTGTCCGTGATAAGCCTGCAGGAATGAAGGGCATACCGTGCATATGCAGACTTTGGTGTGGAAGAATTAGGGCACGACCGTTATTTGCAGACCCGGGCAATTGTCTTTTGTTGTAATGTGTAAAAAAAATTCTTTCTAATTTTGGAAGCTAATGTTGGCCGATTAATCGGTCAAGCCCTGGTGAGGATCACAGACACCCCCAAAAAAAAAACACTCAACTCACAGCCAAGTGGAGTGGACTGATCTGCCCATGGCACTCAGAGTCACTTGGGAAGTCTGTTCCTGATGACTCCATCAGCTGAAAAAGACAGATGGTAAAATGAAACGGAACTCGACGTCAGACTCAGGATTGCATTCCAATGCAATGCCACATGGGTAAGCCTGATTCAATTTACGTTCGATGATGTCTTGATGACATTTTGTTCAACACTACTTATATTGTGGCATTGGGAGTTTCACACTTTGAGCAATGCCTCATCTGTCCAACAGAGGGCACACCTTTCATGAAGAGACCCATTTGCATCATGTCAAGTACTAAGCATTCTTACCACGTCAAGCGGCGTTTCACTTGCCATCTAAACGAAAACACAAACACAAAGAGTATTTACTGTCCTTGGGAATTCAGATCATCCCTCAGAAATTTTTGAAGCACTTCAGACTTGATATGAATAATTTGTAGATTTTTTTTTTTTCCCTACATAATGACTGAGGTACACACCAGCTCCAGAGAGAGAGTGCGGCCATAGGCCGAGGCATAGTGGACTGCACTGTACCCCTGTTGGTCCCGAACACCTGGCTCAGCATTGTTCCTCAAAAGGTACTCCACACACCTACGACAATCCGAAATATAAGACTGTTTACTGAGCAATGGGGCACTGAAGATGTGTGCTGTTGGAATCAGAAAACTAACGTACTTTCCGTCGGTGTCGGCTGCAGCGGCGTAGTGCAGGGGGCCGCAGCCTCTCTGGTCCAGCTCATTGATGCTCGCCCCCGAGCCCACCAGGGCAAACACGCAGTGGTAATTGCAGTTTGCTGATGCATAATGAAGCGGAGTCCTATGATGGTGAGAGGATGACATCATTTATCTGTCTTCCTCTCGCTGTGCATTTTAGCTCTTTATTTGATTTATTTTGCAGTCTTGTCGAGGCACGTTTGGTGGCTGCTAGCTTACCTTCCGTAGTTGTCTTTCTTGTTAAAGTCTGCTCCTATGTTTAGCAGCAGGTTCAGGCACTCCAGGTTCCTGAGCAATTAAACAACGTATGCCATGAAATGAACTCTTACAAACACTGCAAATAGGATGGATAAAAGCAGGACCCACCCTCCAGCTGCGGCAGCGTGTAGACACGTCCTTCCGTAATCGTCGGGAGTGTCAATGTCAAATCCTGAGACAAAGAGGTAAACACGATCCACGGACTGATCAACCAGGTGGTTTCAGGGCGTGAGAAAGGTTGTCAACATTAATGTACCCGAGGACAGCAGCTTCCTGCAGCAATCGGGGAAGCCGGTGAGAGCTGCCAGGTGCAGCGGGAACATCCCGTGAATACCTCTCCTGGAGAGGGAAAAGGAAGAGAGGTTGTCACAAGACGCGGATGGTCAAAACAACTGGTACATTGGGCTTTAGGATAAATAATGGTTCAAAAGGTCCTTCCTTGTTTTGGATTTAGGTCAGACTAATAAGGCTAGGACACAAATGACGCCTCTTCTGTCATGCCAGATCATACAAATATACTCCAACGTCTTTTGTGACTGACTTGGCGAGGCAGGCTCTGTGTTTGACGAGTGCCGTGATGATGAGCTCATGGCCATGACGTGCGGCAATGTGAAGGGCGGTGTTTCTGTCCCTGTCCACGCAATCAATCTCGGCTCCTACAAACACATAAATGAGACATACACTGCTCCCATTACAAAACACAACCGAGTATTTGGCTCCCGGGCTTTACCATTTTGAATGAGGGCCTGAGAGCAGGAAAACCGGCCGTGGGTAGCTGCCATATGGAGGGGAGTCTTCCCGTCCTTACTCTGCACAGATGGACAACGGCATTGGTGGACATCGGAGTACGTATGAAAGCTCGGCACATGTCGAGGGCCGGTGCAACTCGCTCAGGTTTTACTGCTGTAATGTGGTGGAAAACTGAGCTCGACATTATGCAAGAATCACCCACACAGATAGTATATCCCTCTAGTAGCCAGCAGCCTTGGGGAGCCACTGGGCTCCCCACACCATGTCACATATGGTCGCTGATCTGGAGGCTCCATGTGTTCCCGTACCGGTTTCCATCGGTACTCCTAATGTGTGTCTTTCCGGTTGCGACAAAGGAGCAATCATACAACCGCAGAAGTTTGGAGACGCAAGGTCTGTGGGGGTATTTACTTAGTACATCCTCTCAAAAGGGAAGGTGGGCGGTTTAAGATCCTGTAACAGCAATGCTGCCGATATCAGTTAAACCCGAGCTTGTAAGTGTTTGCGAGGAGCCCGCCGCACCCGCATGTTGATGTGCGCTCCGTGGGCCAACAGTAGCTCTTGGCACAGCGCCCCTTGGCGTGAGGAGGAGGCAAAATGGAGCGCAGAGAAACCCCTCTCGTTGACCTAGAGGAAAGGAACAAATCCCCGAAAAATGCAAAACATATGTTGAGCAGGTTTAATTTTGAACACACGCCCACGCACACACACAAACCTGGTTGACACTCGCCCCCGCCTTGATGAGCTCACTGACCACCACATCCTGCCCGTTGTAACACGCCAAATGGAGTGGAGTGTTGCCGTAGGCATTCACCACATTCACCTACGGAAAACACATTTTAAGATCTTTTCAATGTCATTGCTAGGTGGGAGGCACTGCGCGTGCTGACCTGAACCCCGAGGCCCAGCAGGTAGTGTACGGTGCTGCTCATCCCGCTGGAAGCGGCTGCATGCAGCGGGGTGTAGGCCTTCTTGTCCTTGCAGTCCACCTCGGCGCCACTGCTCACCAGTAATTTAACTACCTCCAGGTGACCTGCGAAAAAAAATAGAGCTCAATTAAAACTCATTCAGTACCAGCCAATTCTAGACCAAGTCTGAAAAGACGTTTAAAAACGTCTTTGGGAGTGAATGAGTTAATCAGTTTTAGAGGACATGGATTTTTTTTTCTTTTTGAATATTTTGGATTTATTTGACTCTGAGATTTATGGCCAAGATTTTTCTTTGACACAAAGATGAGGTGTTTGATTTATGATTTCACTATTGTGCTAGCATCGGTTACTGATAAACTCCAGGTTTTGATTTGCACATAAAACTGGGTTACAAGAGTATCATTTGAAAGAAACTTCGGCAGAAACCCAGAACCTAAACAGCGAGAGAACGTGGTGTAACCTGACCCATGTAAGCAGCCCAATGGATGGCCCTCCTGTCCTTCTTGTCAAACGCATTGATGTTAGCTCCTCTTGACAGTAGCAACTTCACCATCTGCAACCCAAACGCAAGCAAACATCCACCGCTGTCCACATGCGGAAGTCCGCTTTACCGCACGAGAAGCCGACCTCTACGTGTCCACTGAAGGCAGCGTGGTGCAGAGCGGTGCGTCCCGCCCTGTCCGACACGTTGACATTGCTCAGCAACGGGACTAACGCTTCGGCACAGCGCATGGCCTTGTTGCTCGCCGCGACGTGGAGCGGAGTCTGCCAGTTCTTGTCCCTGGCGTTGACATCGGCGCTGTGCTTCAGCAGCATGGCCACCGCATCCTGCGCAGACAGCGGTCATGGGGAAGGTTGACAGGAGGGCTTTTCAAAGAAAAACCGAATGCTCCCTCATACTCTTTCAAAGGCGACAAGGAGGCGACGGGGCTTCAGTCGAGTCCAAATGCATGGGTGTTTAGAAAATGATTACCTCACTGCACGAAGCCACAGCACGGTGAAGAGGGGTCAACCACTTGTTGTCTTTGGCATTAACTCTGGCTCCTTGACAGAAAATAGTGGACGGCATATTAGTACAGTATCCACAAAGACAAAATTAACCACCTTCAATCAATCGAAATGATTTGACCGTTACAAGAACTCAAGGACAAATCGATTTCAATGACTGACAGTGGGAGGCGTCTCTTGAGCCAATGGCGGCCGGAGGATTCAAAACTCCCTTGATCCTCGTTGACGCCGCTTGGGGGGTTAAAATAGCCCTGAAACTGCACCTGTCACACGCTCTTCCCAATATTGAGGAACAGGGCAGCACATGTGGAGGCACGTGCGCCCGCTCACACCCCTGCTCTAGTGTTGCGCGAGTGTTGAGACCACATCCGGACGTGTGCAGCTGACTTACAGAAAGCCAAGAACGTACAGAGAGACCCCCCGCCCCCACCCTCAGCTGATTTCGAAATCACTAGCAGCGCCACCAGTTGCGATTGGACACCATGACATCATGTCACAAGGCAATGAGTAGACATAGTACTGCCGCATGTGACCATCAAAGAAGAAAAACAGGACATTCCGCAGAAGACATTTGTTAAATATTAAATGGGGTGGCTTAATCCCATTTCACGGATCGTCTCAGCATCGCGGCTGAAGCTCTCGAGGCCATGCGGACAGATCTTAATGTTGATCATCACTTTTTTTTTTCCCCCCTTACCGTCACAAATGATTTTGCGGTAGTTCGTGACTGAAGCTTTGACAAAACAACTTTGATTTGAAATACTTGCAATAAGACATTGACTGTAGTTTTACCTGAGAGGATGAGCAGTTCAATGATCTCAGTGTCACCCAGGTAGGCTGCAGCGTGTAGCGGTGTCCGCTTTTCAGTATCCTGTTGCGCATTTCAGACGGGTAAACATGCATTCTGCACGTTATGCAGTACATAGAAAATTACACTTTTTTTTTCTTCTTTTTTTTTACACAATTGATGTAGTGTACTTCTTCACTAGTGAATCTTTTTGGACTCTGCAGGTGTATCTAATGTTTCTCTGCTAGTGTCTAATGAACTTGGCCGCACAAATGGCACTGTACAGACTCTCATTCACTTTGTCGTCGCTCCCTTCATTCATGGCACCCCGCTGCAGCTCCCCTTGCATTTCAGCAGCAGCAGCAGAGGGCAATCATCAGAGTGGGGCTATAAACAAGTGTCACGTGACTGCAATAGGTGGGGCCCAGTGTTGCTGACTCCAGGAAGAGCTATTGTGATGACCCCAGCAAATATTGACCATCACAGAAAAAAAACTAACAAACAAAGCTTTGAGCAGTTAGGTGGATAATATATCCTGAAAGATGGAGACGGGGCAAGGAATGAGATGATGTCAAGGTTGTGACTGCCAGTCAAGTAATTCTCCTCAGATTTTTAACGTGGTATATCGTGTGAATATGCTGACAAGCAAAAGAGTGTTGTTTCATCAAAAACAAGAGCAAATGAGTCAAAGTGCAGTTAGGTGGATAATATATCCTGAAAGATGGAGATGGGGCAAGGAATGAGATGATGTCAAGGTTGTGTCCTAAAACTGCCAGTCAAGATTTTTAACGTGGTATATCGTGTGACTATGCTGACAAGCAAAAGAGTGTTGCTTCATCAAAAATAAGAGCAAATGAGTCAAAGAGACAGCCGTGCTTGACTTACCTGAATATTGACATCCTCTTTCTTGAATATGAGGGACCGAACTTCATCTGGATCCACATTGAAGATGGCTCGAAGCAAGGATGGCTACAACAACAACAGCATCATCATTTCCAAACTGTTATTACCGCCGTTACTACTTTCTGTGAGCGTGATACAAGAGGCATCGGTGTGCGAGTACCACCAAAAATGGTTGCCCGCGCCAGATTTGTTTATGACAGAGGCAGCTGCAGCACAGTGTCGTAAAGAAACATCGCAGGTTTGAAATTGTGCTCTGCGGCCATTTCATTCTTCAGTTCCACTTGTCCCCCCGCTTTGTATTCTCGTCACTATCATTTGCTAGACTACATAAAGGAAAACGATACATTAGTACAACTAAAGGCCTCCCTTCAATGAATGATACTGAGACACAAGATTTCATCCATGATCTTCAGCAAGTGAAATGCGTGCTCAAGGCGAGCGATTGCGCGACGTAAAAAAATATTTTCTTGTTTTCACAGTGCGCTTCGGGCCATTGTCCATCTGCACTTTGAAGTGCCGTCCAATGAGTTCTGAAGCATTTGGCTGAATATGAGCAGATAATATTGCCCGAAACCCTTTGGAATTCTTCCTGCGGGCTTTTGTCAGCAGTCACATCATGAATAAATACGAGGGAACCAGTTCCCAGTTTTGGCAGCCATACATGCCCACACCATGACACCACCACCATCACCACGCTTCACTGATGAAGTGGTATGTTTTGGATGATGAGTTTCTTTCCTTTTCCATCCTCTTCTCATCATTCTAGAGAATGAGTTGATCTTTGTCTCACATATCCAAAGGCTTTTTGGGATTTGTTTGGTAAACTCTTATCTGGGCTTTGTGTTTTTGAGGATCGCCAGAAGTTAATATTTTGCGGAGAACCCTCTCTAGTCACCGTGTCGGACAAGATGAGAACTGTGTCACAATTTTTATGGACGTCACTATGTGTACCCCCAAATAAATAAAAACAGTGAACTGTATTTTCAGTCAACTATCGCTTTTGTAATACACAGAGTATGTTAAGTGCTTTTATGTACTTCAATTTTGCGGCGGCCTGTCAATCTGAATGAGGCGCTTCGAGTCTTCCAAAAAACCTTCATTACTTTCCTCTGAGTGTTATCACTAAGCAGAAGCGAGTCATCAGCACATTGAGCCATAGGTGAATCCAGGCTTCTCAAATTGACCCCCCCCAATAAACTCTCACTCTGTCCCAGCAAAAAAAACAAAAAAAAACAAGTGAGGCATGTTGATGATTGGCGCATGCCAATTACACAGATGCCAAGTGGAATAAAGCGAGCATGATGTTACATCCTGCGCATCCTCTTATTAAAGTACATACTGTACTTCAAAGTGGATTGGAGCTGCATTGGCAATGTTTACATACTGGTTTAGAAACTACAATGGCGTTGGCTTTCCTCATAATCTCTACAAACCAGCATTCATTAAACCGCTGCTAAAATTAGCATGAGCAGAAGTGCGCTCTATTTTAATAGAATAAAATCAGAGCGTGGGTCTACTTACGTAACGAATGTCACGTTTCAACTCAGGTGTGACAAACAAGTAGCGCTGACATCTCAAGGCACAAAAATTTAGTCAGTAGTGGAACCATGAAGACAAGGCCACCTCACCTTGTCCTCCAGCGCAGAAGCCCTTCGAGGGGGATGATGTGATCTGCGGTCTAGGGTTGATTTGGGCTCAGGGGGTGGGGGTGAAAAGCAGGGCTCATCCTCCTCCACCTCCTCCAGCACCACGATACAAACACGACTTGCCCGCTCCGACCGCATCAGGAAGCAGCGAAGACAAATATAGCAAGTCCCTCACTCACAATTCACAGATCCCTCTGTCATATGTTCCCAGCCAGGAGCGACAGGGGTCACCGACAATTCCCAAAGACATGGCCACTTCCTTGGAAACAACCAGTGCACATCTTGATGTGAAATCCAAGTGCTCCTAGAGCTCTGCAGCACGCCTCCTCTCCTCCTCGCTCTGCGCCGCTGTAAACAGAAGCAGCGGAGACAGCAGGGAATTCCTCTGCGTAATGGTGTCGCCGGGCGGCATGCGGCAGAATGACGGCGCTGCCTCGAGGCCGACAAAAAGGTGCGGGTCCTCGCTGCTGTAGTGCAGGCGCGCTCACAAAAGAGCACTGGTGCATGTGTGGGGATGCAATGTGCCTTTCAGCCAGACTGCTGAAGCCAGCTCTTTCCGGGGGATGAGACCAAGGGAGTGAGAGAGGCACTGAGGGGGGAGGGGGGGGGGGCAGGGGGATTATTATGGTCAGTTACCTAGAGCTCAACCATCGCCATGAATCCTGAAGATGAATGGAGAAAAGGGGGCAGAGGGCAGTTGAAAGCAAGCCAGGTGACTCAGATGTCATGTAAACACAAGGAAAGGAATCATCCAAATTCATATGGACAGAGTTGGCTTTGTCAGTACAAGTTCCAGGTATCAGACTTGAATAAGGAGCATAAATCGTCAAAGCAGTGTTGAATGAATCGGATCAACGCGTCTTGTGTGTGTCCTCCTATCCCCTTTGGGTATATTATCAGTAACATTGCTTCAATGGTCTCCTCATTATGAAAGTGGAACAAACAGGCTCTGTGAGAGAGACTGCGAGGGCAGCTAACAAGACCAGTCTGTGCGTGTTGTTGTCTGCGTGCGTCACTCTGCCTCATATTCAACACACATCCTGAAAGGAGCAACCGTGCCAAGCCGCACAAGCCCATTAACTGAGAGGCAGTGGAGATGAGACAAACAGAGCAGTCCTAAATTATGAGAGGATTGGACTCACCCTCTGGCACTAAAACATGAAAAACATAAAGAGCTGGTGATGGCACAATGGTGATGGCACAAGGTGAACACATGAGCACAACACAGGAGTTCTGAGAAGACGTGTACCTGATAGTGTACAACAGGGGTGTCCAAACTTTTTCGTTTAAGGGCCGCAGACAGAAAAATGGAAGAGTGAAAGGTTCGAATCTCACTTCCAGCCTTCCAGTGAGGAGTTTGCACAGTGCCTGCATGTTTTCTCCAGTTACTCTAGCCTCCTTCCATGTTCCAAAAACGTGCATGTAGGGTTGGTTCATTGAACGACTTAACTGAGTTTAAATGGGTAATTGTTAAAAGTTAGTTAGGGTGGGATATGCCCTAATAAACGCCAGCGAGATACAAAATTAATAGATAACTACAACAGTTACTTGAAACAACGAGATTTTTAAAAGTGTTGCAAAATACATCCACTAAGTTACTCAAGGACCACAATTTCAGAAATACTGCTCTGAGATGCCCACAAATCTTCATCAAAGCATAAACAAGCCTGTGAGTAAATACAATTGGGTACTAATATAAACAAGATTTTACACAGCACTAGGAGGCTTCTCTGGCTGCCCGCCATAATCAACACAATCCTGATGTGCCGCTTGGAAATGCACAGAAACTCTGGGTAGGACCAAATCATCTGCTTTTTTTTTTGTGCATGCTCTCTCTCCATCCACATCCTGAGGCTCCAATCTCAAGAAAACGAAAGTACATGTCGCCCTCTAGAGCTCAAACATAAACCTATCGTGACAGTGACATTCACCCCTGGGTCAGTTCCTGCCCTTCCAATGTCTATTTCCAGCTATTTATCCGGTTTTCTGTCAGTAAACGCCACGGAGAACAATGCAGAATGAAGATGGGGAAATTAGTCATCCACTCTTCCGCCTCTTTGAGTACATACTAGCTGTATGGAGGAAGCATCACACATTGACAAGTTTTAATCTGAAAATTAGGTTCAATTGCTACAATCTGTCAGGAGATACTAATAATTTCATAAATATCAATGTAGTTATATTTAAGACAACTTGCAGTTATTTTACAGCAATATAAGTCACAAAAACAGACAGTTTATTCATTTCAACCTACAAATCAATCAATACTGTGACTCCTAATCTTGCCTCAATGGTCCATTAGCTAAAAATGAATAAGAACACTGGATAAACATAAGGTGAGAAACAATATGACACTTGTGACAGGATTGTGTCTCTGATCCATTGACAACAGCTGGGGTGATCCTGCGAGTAAGCAGAGTCTAATTCCATGGCTAAAGTGGAGATCATTTTGCATTGTCTCATAGTGGTGGCAAAAGTACCACCAGTCTCTTCTTAAGTAGAAGTACAGAGTGAAGACTGAGCTGTTAAATTAAATGTACAAAATCAAAACTTCATTTTTACTGGCAATTATACACAGCACCTGTTAAAATAACCCGTACACAAGTTCTGTGTCTGTTCATCTATCTATGTCAGGGTGGTATAGTGGAAGGCAGAACTGTGACGTGCTGTTTGGAAATGTAAGGAGGAAAAGTAAAACGTCAGAAAAACGAATACATGGGAAATCAATTAGCGCACATTAACTAAGTTTTTGATATTTGTGAGTTCACACCATTGTTAACATGTGGACGCCCTCCACCCCGAGGTGCCACATAAAGACAGACATACACCTTACAAAGTACAACCTTGGTGGGGGACACATTCAGAAACATACAAATATTTATTAACCTTATCTTTCTTTGCATTTTTTTTTTTTTGGTCGTGAAACGGTTTAAATGGATGCTAACAACTCGCGTTAAGAAGTTAGCGGGGTGCTATTGCAGCGGTTTTCACTGACAAAGGGACAATCGATACAAAAAAAAAAGCCCCAGCATACTGACTGACGGTAGTGTTTTAAAGAAGTTGGTGAAAATAAAGTGTTAACTGTTTTTTATGTGCCACAATGCAACAGGTAGCCTGACGCACATATAGCCTCCTTTGTTAGTGTCTGATCAGTGATTTGTTTACCGTTAGCCGCTAGCTTTTTCAAGCTAGCTCTCGTGTACTCCCACTGATGGGTATTTTTTTTTCACTTCTGCATTTTTTTCCTCAAATGTAATAACTACACTTGCGTAGCGAGCTGATTCACGTTCGATAATTACATTATTCACCGCAGCAGCCAGCCTGAATGAAGGCGTTCACTGCCTAATAAAAACCGAGCTAGGAGGTCCAACTTATAAGAAAAGTACAACTAGGCGTGTCGTTCACTTCAAAGTAGGAAAAACGTGACAGTACCTGGTCCTGGATCTTCATCACAGCCATAATTCCAGTTCAAGAGTGTCAGTTATATTGTAAAATAGCCCGGTAATAGCCCAAGACTAACCGGGGAAAATACTGAATCAACTTGGAGCCCCCCCGACACTCACACGCCCCCAACTTCCTTCCTGTCACGGAACCACCACCATTCCACAGCACGAGACAAAAACTGGACCATGAACTTTTCTGAGTGTGTCCGTACGGTAGTTGACTTTATGAGTATTTAAAAATATGTATTACCGACCAGCTTTATACATCTCCATCAGTGTACATCAGGGCAACAATATCTGAAGCACTGACCTACATTTATGCAATATCAACCCGAATTTGATTATTATTTTTATGATTATTATTTATGTCTCATATTTTATTCTCTTCATTTCGTAGCTATTCATTTTTTTTCTCCAAGATTTCAGCCTCTATATGTTGCCATGTCAATCAAATCTGTCCTAGGCCTTCAAAATCAATAACTCTGTCTGATATAATTTTAAGTTATATTACCTATGGGATGGTTTCTGATCAGATGGTTCGGAATCAGAGGTTTCTGATTCCGTTTGTATTCCGTCCTGTAGTTGGACGGGCAGAGCAAAACTGTCACAGCCAGCTTTGCCTTGTGTTTTCGTTATATTAAATATTTATTCTGATGTTTCCAGTTGTACTATTTTTTTTTGTAAAATATTGATGGTGGATTAATGTGGGTAAGGCCAAACCTATCAAATACCTGACCAGCCATTTTATATTTTAAAATTGTGATCACAGTTGGATTACTGGATTGTGACCTGTAGTTTGTTTTATTTTTTCAAACATATAAAACTGCTGTATACACGATCAGACAAGACAAAGGTGTGCATAAATTAAATCAATTAAAAGCTCCTACGATGTTTTTGCATGGTCTATTAGTGGTTGGCACATCTGCCTCCAAGTTTGAAGTTCAGGTTTTGAATCTCAGCGCACCGCTTTCTGTGTGGAGTTTGCGTGGGCTTCCTCTCGCATCCCCAAAACATGTTTTTTTCCAAAGCTTCTTTTTCTTGGTCCACATTTCCACATAAGTGGTTGCAAACCTAAAGAAGGGACTTCTATTTTGTTGAATTGATGGCCTGAAGTGTCGTATAAAGGAAATTTAAAGCAGAATCCCGGCCCCCACGTGCCTCTGGACTTTGTTGTTCTCTATGCTGGGCCTCTTCAATTTTAACAGGAAGTAGGGTGAATTTTTGATTCCGGAAGACTGCTGGTGGTACCGGGTATCGGAAACAGGTGCAACATCTGCAACATTTTTACTTCTGTTCTTAAAGTGGATTGCAGTCTGTACCTTAAAAAAAATCTTTTACCTCGGCCACTTGAATTTAAATATTTGTGCTTGTGCTGCCTGTCCTCCAAAATCCTTCACCATACTAATAATGACAAGTAGAATATTTAAAGTTCAGTGTGGTTACCAGATAAGCTCAGTTAGCCTAGCTTCTACTTTGTATTTTGCATTCAGGGTGCCGAATAGGACCATGCCATCACTCATAGGTCAGTCTTGATACTAAGCCAGATTTCATATGTGGTGTGATGGGCAAGCCATTAAAATCTTTTCGCAATTGTCCTAAATACATATTGATGTCCAGTGCTGCCTCGAAACAATTCCGAACACACATGTAAGGTTGAACCAACCTTTCACAATTGCAACTTCGTGGCTTTGATGTTAAGATCTAGAATCGAAGAATGACGACTGTTTTCTTACTTAAAGCGGCATGCGTGTTCGTCGTAATCGGTAACGGTTTTGTCAACTGCGCCCAGTATTTTAAGTCACGACTGCCTTTGGCTATTTCATCTTTTTACCCTGAACGAAATCGTAGGCGTCCATGACAGAAGTGACGTCGCATTTCCGTTCATTTCCTTCCATGAGTGACTCGCGAGAGGAACTCGATTTACGACGGAGGTCACCTTTTTACGGACGTGTCAGTTTTACGGCAATGGGAATTTACACAAAAATACTACAATAATTTCGTGTGAAAAATGAAATGGAAAAATAAACACTATGAAAAAAGTGTTTATGAAAATAGCTCGTAGGTACCCAGTTGACTACAGCATCATGACCACCCAACAGGTGAAATTCAGGTTGTGGAAACTGCTTTGTTTTATTCTTTTAAAATTGATAACGTGTAATACATTGAAAAGTAAACTCTAAACGAGAATTGTCAACAACAACAAAGTGTCACCGGCCATTTTGAGGATGTTCCTCAATCCATGTTGTGGATGGACTCATGAAGGTTCTTCTGCTACATGCTAAGGGGTGGATGTTGCATGTGTATCCATATTCACAGCAGTGCAGACCATCTGCACAACATTGGCCCTGAAAATCAATGGCAGTCGGTTTTTAGAACGAAATCATTCTGGTAAATACCTATTTCCCCTAAATACAATCAGCTGCCAGGTTATGAATTATCTTGAAATTCAATCTGCTTTTATTTCAGCTACAGCAGATTGCATTGAATGTTTGCTGCCAATGCAAATAGATGTAGGGGAAAAACGTTGCTCCACTGTGTCCACTTGTCCAGGAAGCGGTGAATTATTTCAGCTACAGCAGATTGCATTGAATGTTTGCTTCCTATGCAAATAGATGAAGGGGAAAAACGTTGCTCCACTTGTCCAGGAAGCGGTGAAGGAGCTCTGAAGCAGGCACTACTGACTTCAGCAGGAACGGCTTACACCACATATTATTTTTCTGTCCATTTGTGAACAAAATTAAAGTTAATACCGGATCCATACCAGTGGGTAGGGACAGCAATTCCAAGATTCTGATGACAGTCCTTTGCAGCAAGATGTGCCTTGTGGGCAAAAGAACTTTGAACTGCAGCGAATGACTCCAAACTCGTGCTCACTACCACTGGCATCTACCACAATTGGCACATGTGTCTGCAATAAGATCATAAAAGGATGCATAACATGTTAAATTGCATTATGCTGGCTATGGTTACCCACAAACTGTTCTTGTATTTCAATTGGCACATGTGTCTGCAATAAGATCATAAAAGGATGCATAACATGTTAAATTGCATTATACTGGCTTGGTTGCCCACAAACTGTTCTTGTATTTCAACGCAATTTTGGTGTATTAAACCCATTCCATAATTCCAAGTTGGAGATTGATAACCAATACTTGAGCTGCATTTATTTAAAAAGCTAAGGAGCATTTGCTTGATGTCAGATATATATTTTTTTTGTCTTAAGTATCAGTGACTAGCTTTGGTAGCTTCGATGTTTTATGCTATCTTGTTTGTCATGCTTTTTTTTTTTGTATACGCCGTTGCCATCACGTTACTTTCTCCCCTCTTGAAGTTTTTTTTTTTTGTATACGCTGTTGCCATCACGTTACTTTCTCCCCTCTTGAAGCCAAATAAAGTGCAGTCATGTCGACTTCAACAAAATCATTTTAAACCCAACTGGACTTTTTGACCTGTGATATTTCTGAAGTGCCAGCAGCACTCACCTTTTCAATAATATTGGAGTATGACAATGATTGAAGTGGGATGACGGGAGGTCCACCAGCAGCTTTTTTCAGCAGGAATGGAGAGTCCATCCATGACGCCGTGACTTTCTCACACTGCTTGGAAACCAAGTCACAGCGAAACCCTTGAGGGCAGCAGTGGGACAAGTCGGGGCAGCATACCGCCTGAAGAATCACAGGAAATACAGGATAAAAAAACCCAGAGTACAACACTTGAGATTACTGTTTGAACTTACATTGGGGTATCCACAGCAGCTGTACCCCTGCTCAGTCTGGCAGCAGGTTGTGTGATCGGAGCAGACCGTTTCGTCGGGACATGGGATGTTACAGGACACAAAGGCCCCCAATGCCAGCCACACACTGAGCCTCAACATCTGGAGCGCACAACTACAACAGGCATTCTAAAATCACGACTGAGGAAACACCCATCTGAAGATTTAGTCAACGTTTCCGTGACAAGAGAAAAGAGATGACAAGCAGAAAATGCGTTGACTTACTTTGGCTTGTCAACGTTTCCCAACAGCTTCCCGAATAAGAATCAGCGGACTTCTGTTTGCTCAGATTAAATCTTCGCACTTCTTTTCATTGAATCTTGAAACTACCTTTTACATCACACCCACGACATCATGTGACTTTCAGATTACCGGTACACTCAGCCCCTGCCCACAAATGCAGTACACAACTCTGAAAATGGATTTGAGCATTGAGATTTTACATCCATGTTGCCTAAATCTAACCAATGGCTGGACGGTCACAGCCATAGTTCAGCCTTGACAATCTGATAGTTAATTGCAGTTTACAGTGGTTTAAAATAGCAAAAACATCACACGTCATTTAGCTTCATGTGATGGAATATGACACTGACGCAACAATGCAAATTCCGCATCGCTACAAAACTACACAAGCAGAATACGGTGGGTAAATATGGCTCTGACTGGCCGTCACAACTCATAATAGCTGTTTTCCACTGCTTATAAAATATATTGCTTCCCTGGGTTACAGTATGCGTAAAAGGCAACGGTAAAAATCTAATTACCACCAATGATCATACGTGTGCTGCAGTGAATTCCCACATTTTTAGCAGGTAGGTTGTCTGTGGAGCAATTTAATAATAATGAAAATAAAACATGCGTGGTAACAGTCAAAGCAAATGATGGATGGAGGTAGTTGGGCTACTGAAGATAAACCTTCAAAATGTCATCCTTGGGTAACCGCAATGACGGCTAAAAGGTGACTTTATTCATCAACTCCCAATTCATACATGTGCACAGTTGTGCAGCAACGTTTTTTTTTTTATTAATCGTACAGGTCCAACTTCAATATGAGGCTGGCGTGACATTAAGCGTTGAGCTCGACATGCGAAAGAGGAAGCAGATAATTCCTCAGAGGGAAAGTTCAGTAAAATGGGCGGTGGCAAGTGCTGTCAAGAAATCTACTAGCACCTCAAAAAAAGAAGATGCACCTGATTCAACAAGGCTTCACAATCTCAGCACAGCACTGCAATTGTCGCAATCTGAGCTGGATGTTTCTGGTGGTCCAAAAAAACAACAACAAAAAAAAAACAATTTAAAAAGCTAAAACTGCAGGAGTATGTATGGAACAGTCGCGTCAGAGCTAGTCCAGCTCAGAGTCCGACGGAGATGCCAACTTCCTCTTCTTTTTCCCGCTGTGCTTCTTGTGCTTCTTTTTCCGCTTTTTCTTCGATTTGTCCTGTGTTGAAAAGGCATTTTTTTTTTCATGTCAGCTAAAACAAAAACAACTGTGTTTCAATGTGGAACTGGAACTTTTGAAACTGTACTCTTACTGTGATTTTCTCTTTTTCCTCACTATTTCTCTTTTTCTTCTTGGTGTCAGCCTGAGAAGAAGAGGGAAACAAAAGAAAAATAAAACCCATCGAAACAAAGGAAGCCAAAATCAACGATGTTTCACAAGAATGGACTTTCTGACCGCAATTGAGTGACAAATGTACTTTGGGTTTGGCTGTCTGACAGTGAAACCCCGACTTAGGGATTTTTGCTTCAAGTTGTTTACTGCCACTCTCAGTGGAAGTTTACTGTGCCGCTAAACGTAAAAACAACTCGAAATTGTGCATTGCACCAAATGACATTGACGCCAAACAAAAGTCTGCTAGCTTAAGGCTAAGCCGAAATGCGAAACAGCTTAAGAAAGGCGACTGAAGTAACCATCGATATTGGTGTAATTATAAACCTTCACCTGATATATTTGACCACAAATGGTAGTAACACATGCAGAGGGCAATACAATACTATCAGCCATGTATTCTTTATACTCTGCAAAAAAAAAACTAAGGAATATTGTTGCAGCTAATTTGTGATGGTCTTTTGAGTTTCATCATCACATCTACGTATCGTACATATACATGGATATATGTTCTATTTTATGGATGCACAAACTGTTTAATTCTTTACACTATTAAAAAAAAAATCAACAAGGCTAAAGCAAAATAAAACAAACACACAAGGGTTATGTTACCATTTCATCTCCATCCGACTCGGCAGATGACTTTGGCTCACTTTTTATTTTCCTTCGACGGCTTTTGTCATCCTAGGCGACAATATTTTAGTCCCTTAATCCATATTCATAATGAATGAAAGGTGCATTTAACATTTGAACAAGCTTTAAATCACCTTATTGTTATCGCCTTCTTCCTTGAGTCTTTTCTTTTTCTTCTTGAGGCAAAAAGAGCATTGGGGGTGAATTAGGGATGTTGACAAAAAAAAAAAAAAAAACAACATTACAGTCATTCAATCTCAAATGAATAAGTCATTGTTGTGTTGTTGCACAAAACAAAGAACAAGGGAAAAAAAAAAAGACCTTTCTTTCGGCATCTGAGTCTGCATCCGAGTCATCTGATGCTCTTCTGGCCGACGACCTCTTTCTTTTCCGCTTTTTCTTCACGGTCTTCTTTTCGGGCTGAAGACAAACAAACGCACAGAAGTTCAGATGAGGTTCAACAGTGTTCCCAGATCACTATTGACATGCCCCATTTCAAATAAACAACGTCACGCGTTCATTAGATAAAAACCATTCTCGAGAAAAGCCACCCTCTCCAACCACACATGTTGCGCATACCAGAAACTGCCACTGGTGTTATTCCATCATTTATTTCACAATGACAGACTTGAATTTGAAAATCTGTGTATATATGAACAATTCTGGGCTTAACTGTATATGTAAATATGCACAGTGACTGCCCCCTACAGGCAAAGATTGCTGCATCCAGTCCTCAGCGATGGTCATGAGTCACAGTGCACTTTGATATGGAGCTGGATAGTAATCAGTACTTTTGAGGCATTATTCAGCTCGGTGTACGATATTTCCTTTTAGCGCCATTCATCAGTTTAAAAGCCCATGGCCGTCCGTGACTTACCTCGTCTTCAGATTCTGAGGAGGAGCTGCTGGAGGAATCAGAACTCGATGAGGAGGAGGAAGAAGATGAAGAATGCTTGAGCAGAACACAATAAAAGCGGGGTTCATTAGATTTGAGGGAACTTGTATTGAGTTGACTAACTATAACAGCAAGAGGTACAGTGAAAACTAGAGGTCTCCCCTCACCCTACTGGATTTCTTCTTCTTCTCCCTTTTCTGCACACAGATTAAAAAGGCAACATGAGATATTAAGGCTATTTAAGCAACGTAATTTTCTTATGGGTGTATACTGCACCTCCTTCTTATCTTTCTTCTCCTCTCTTTCTCGCTCTCCTGTCTTTTTGTCTTTTTCTTTGTCCTTTTCACTTGCGCCTAACAGCTTTTCTCGGTTCTTTGCCAACTCTTTCTTCCATCTCTGTTACCGAGAAAAAAATTCACCAAGAGTCCATAAGACAAAATAAGGTACACCTAAAATTCAAGATGCTGATTTTCATGAAAATAAACCACAGATTGTGTTGTTGAATGAGAGCAAAGCTAGTTTTCACACCTCATTCATTTTGTCCTCAAAGTCAGCCAAGGCTCGTGAGCCTTTTTTCTTCTTCTCCAGCTGCTCCTTTATCTCTTCCCTGATGAAGACACAGCGAATGATTTAATTAAGTACATCAGTTGTAATACACATGCAAGTTATTTCAAACAAATAATCTGTTCCACTGTATAATTTACGAGCCAGAGTTTTTATCCTATACGCACCATGTTGGTCGAGGTCTGCCTAAATAATCCTGTATGGTGGGTCCTGAGTTCTGTACCGGCCCCCTGGATCTTGCAGCAGCAATTGGATTTACATAGGCCTGGAATGTCAAACAACACATATTGAACAAATCCCCTGGAAAAAATAGATAAGATACTTACTTGTGTTACCTTACCCTAAATTTAAGATTTTACAGGAGAAATATTGACACATGAAAAATTATTAAGATTACAATAGTAATGTAATAATTCGTGTAATTATTTGGTTTAAACAGTGTTCTTGCCTATAAATTTAAAACCTAATGAAAAACCAAGTTTGGCGGTATTTGAGCGTGCGCTTCAGTGCCACGTGACACTATTTTCTAACGCCGCCAAGCACATTTTGATGCGCGTTGTTCGTAACCTCAGACCGCCTAAGTCGAGGACCCCTGCGCAATCATGACAGGAGCATTGTCAACAGAAACATTCCATCAAGAGTACAAATAAACAAATATCGACATGATCCTAACGCCGTGCCCCCTCCCCCTTTAATGGACACTCCTGTTAAATATTGATATTGATCGTAGCCGCAGCATGATGACATGGAACGACATTGCAGTCGTGCTGGCTTTACAGGGCTAAACGGCGCAGCACACTATACAAAATAGTGAGCTAACGTTGGGAATCCTCTGCCGCTACGCGCGACAGTGCTCGAGCACCCACACGCAACGTACATATTTTTCGTTCACGGCCACGGCGTGGAATTAATAATACCAAAGTAAATAGTTTCACAGAAATGGGGGATGCTGCCTCACGGTTAAATTGACAATAGGCTAGGCGTATCATTAGCGAGCATTAGTACGGGCTCTGTTGTGCTGAGCTGGGCTGGTCGCAAGCTAATTTAGCGGGTTTACACAAAAACATAACACAGTAACTCACCACTCGATTGTCTCTCTTGCCCATTTTGGCTTAATCAATAGTGGGGGGATCTAGCAAAATGCATGAACATTAGTGTTTTTTTTCCTGGTTATTGGTAAGCGGCTACATCAAAACGGGTTTTCTTGCTAGGCGCTTCGTCTCCTTCTGTGATGAGAAATGAGTCGGGCCAAGTTGGTCTGTGAAGCGTTGCTGCCACCATCTGTTCATCTTTAGATTGCACGTGGCTTGATCAACTCGACAAAAAAAGTAAAAAGAAAAAATACTGAAATACAAAAGTGAAAATACCCACCCACACTTTTTAAATGTCATTAGTACAATGGGGAAAACTTAACACTTCGTTATGACTGTCTCTGTTTTATGAACTTACATCATGCTCAGACTAAGAAAAACATCATTTAGTAACAAAAAAAAGAAAAAAGATAAATCAGGCAATAACTGAAACAAACTCACCCTACTTCTATTTTTTTAAAAGATTTGACTCAAAGATGTTGGTTTTTGCCACATGACAACCTTCTCACCGCAAACCATACTTGAAACAAAAACAATTATTTTAAAAAGAGCAATGGATAGGGAATATCTTGCGTCTCTAAATCAGTCGCAGTCATCACCAGTGTTCCCTAGTTTCCCTTCCTCCATGTCACTGCTGTCTTCTTTTCCCACCTGATATGACCTCAAAATCTCAACTGTGGTCAAGTTAACCTAATTTTTTCACATTGTGTCATCATCAGTGGAGCATGGAAAAAGAATAGTTAAGTAGAGAGTATAAATGTCTGTTTTCAAATGTCAGAGGTCAAAGTAAAAGCCAACAGAAAAACACTCAAGTAACGCACAAATACCGGAAAAAGCTAGCTTGTAGTTTTTTGTTTTTTTTAATCACTGCAAAGCAAAAACGCAGGAGAAAATTTAAATGAACAACTGATAGTGATGGGATCAAAATTATCATTATCGATGGAAATGCAGACACAGATTATGTAGCAGTCTTGCACACATTCCGCATTGAGCAACAACTACATGTAACCAACAACCCCCCACCCCCTCTTTTTTGTAGGTGTCGGACATGCCAATTTGTAGCTTTTTGCAACTCTCGTTTCCTTTAACGCTGCTGTGTCATCTTTCGACTCTGCTTTTGGTAAAACTTCCAAATGACACCCAGACCTCATTTATTCTACCCCATTTCTTTGGAGGGTTACATTGAAACATATGTCATGTATAATTGGGATCCAACACAATTTTCGTAAAAAGCGGCTTTTAATTCAGCTGGTGTAAACAATAATATGACACCAATTCTTGAATTCATTCAATAACAACATGATTGTTTTGTTCCGAATCCCAATTTGACGTGCTGAAAACGAGACAGGAACGTGTTATTTGACTTACAAGATGCTTTATGTCCCTAAAACAGCGAAACCTCTAAAAGCTCAAATGTGGAATTCAATTTTACTCATTTTGAAACGTGATACTGTTACTGGCTAAGAAACAATATACAGTGATTGTATCAAGTTTAAAAGACTAAAGCAGTCGTTACCAAAACTCCTACAAACCTAAAATATTTTGAGCTTTCATTGCATTGTATGTCACAACATCAGATTTGAGTCATTTCCAAAAAGAATGTTCACACAGTGCTGAGTCAAGCCGATAAGGATTTGTTGATTACGTTCACCAATTAGCAACAAAAGGTTGCTTTTGTGGCCCAAAAAAAAAAAAAAGAACAGTTCATACAGGCAGTTATATTCATACAGTAATGACTACAGTAACATAACGTGATAAATAGGACTGACAGTAGGATATGATCAATGGCATGATCATTGGACAGCTTGAAGAGAACCTGAAGGAGTTGTAATGTGGTCAGTTAGTAGCCAGAGGATGTGCAAACTGTGCGAAAGGTTTGGACACCCGGAGCAAAAACCTGAGAAAGAATGACTCTGTGAGTGTATGTGTGAAAAGTGTGTGTGTGTGTGTGTGTGTGTGTGTGTACGTGTGTGTGTGTGTGTGTGTGTGTGTGTGTGTGCTAGCAGCACGACCAGTTAAGAGAAGATACACCAGTGTTAAAAGTATGTTACTGTTCTGCGCAAAAAAAAAAAAAAAAAAAAAAAAAAATATATAGAAAAATACATCTCTGCAACTTCCTTTTTTCCTTGCTGGTAAAAAATCAAAATCAAAATTGAACAGAGCGGGACTTATCTACAAAATAACGGGGGAAGAAATTTAAGATAGTTGTGCATTATTTAGAAGAAAATAAAAACACACGCACACATATTTGCAGCCACTTTCAAGCTGAAGGAAATTCAACAAGCACCCGCAGAACCCGCCAGACATTTTCAACAGACAAAATACTCTCGCCGTACAACATTCCACTGACCCTCACTTTGTTACCTGATCCGCTTTTGTGACATTTCTATGGGCTGACAATGCAAATATCAGACATTTTCTACAATGACTGCTGCACTACAAACAGTACAGTATAGTCATCTAGCCATTTATACATTCCTTACATCGTCAATTTATCCTCACACAGGTTCGGTAATCCTCTATAGAGTTGGTATAAGAATACTTTATGCCCCGGCATCTTAAAAAAAAAAAAAAATCAAGTACACACCTTGATAAAACATGCATATAAGACTTAGCAATAAAATTAAAATTAAATACAGAATATTGGTAGCAAAATTCTATGCCAAATGTACTGATGAATCGTGCTGGTGGGACTAAAGCCACCTATTGCAAGCGTGTACGTTACTGTGTCAGTTGAATATTAAAAAAAAAAAAAGGTTATAAGACACCTTGATGGCTAACTATCATCATGTCAGAAACATCAAGGGAGTGGCAAGAACTTTTCATTTTCATCATTGCCGGAGCACCAGTATCAGCCCATGATGTTGATAAATGCCTTTAAGTGTGCTTGGCCCCAAAGTTGCAAAGACCATTAGAATCCTGCTACTGGTCTGCAGTTACGCGGGGCATCCTCTGGATGGCAGTATAACGTTTGTAAGTTTGTAATGTTGGCGGCAGTAAGTGGCAGTTAGTCATGACTCATTCGTTTGGCGTCTACGGGGACATCAGTGCACACTTGACGTGTTCGTAAATGCGACCGTGCTTGTGCTTCACAAGTCCATAAAGTAGAAGAATGATCCATTTTAGGCATCGGGGAACCCCCTCCCCTCCCCCTCCAATCGAGAAGACTCGGAAGGGAGCTCTACACTGGTCGCACAGTGGCTGCTGCATGGAGTCTACAGTCCTTTCACTGATTAGTCCCAGTCATAGAGGAGTCTTTGCATTGATAACGTAGTCAATCATCAACATTTTAGAACCTAAAAGCAGCAATTTCAATCCATCAGTTCACAGGAGGAGGATAGCTTTTGTGCATATCCGGGGCGGAAGATCCTCATTCCTAGCATTGCCTTCTTCCAAGTACTCTCCTAGAAGGGTTTATTTAAGCATACTGTACGCACCACCTGGTCGTCCGTGCTTTGTTCTGTTATACCACAATGAATCACAGTGGACTAAGTTTTAACGCTGAACAGAAAAGCTACAAATATAAAACACAAAATCACACAAGGATTCATCCCCTTTTCAATGATCGCCTTTGGTTGCTGCATGACTGTTGGGAATTTATACACACGGGGTCCGCAAGCTCTCAAAGTTCAACTTGCAAACAAGTAAGCGACAACCTAAAGCATGGGAGCTAATTTTGAGCGGTGGCAGAATTGTGAAGTGAAATGTCGGCCATTTCCAAAAGCTATTTAAGAGATGAATGTTTGTCTTGCATCATCTTGTGTTTTATACTTCAATTTCATCCATTTTACTGGGAGTCATAGTTCAAAGCACTTTGATTGAACAGTCAAGCATGCTCAAGACCAACGAGCGGCCGGGTGAATACTTTGTACGGGCACGGTGAGGGACAGCGAGGACGCTCAGGCAGTCCTCTCTTCAATAGCGGGCTTGTTGCCGGGGATAGGCTGTGCCGCATACACACTTCGACTGAGGCTGTCCACACTTTGGAAATAAGGGTGGGTAAGTGCAGCAAATGCAGATATCCTCCTGGAGGGATTGAAGGCGAGGAATTGCTGCATAGAGGACAGAAAAAAAATCAGACAGCAAAATTATCGTCAAACCTCCTGGACCGTTTAAAACAAACAAACAAAAAAAAAAACTGACCAACTAAAGTGTAATATGCATGCCGGGCCAATAGTTGGCGATAGCACAAACCCAAAGGCAGATGTTGAACACCAACTACCTCACAGAGAAAATCTTTGCACCGCACACGGAAAAACTCCAATTTTCTTAACTGGAAAAAAAAAAGTTTCTTATCCTGACTGTATTTCACGTCATTTCTTTTGTAATTGAACCACAAACAACATGGCGAGATTGTCAAGCAAGCCGTCCAGTGTATTTCTGCAACACAGACTCTCCACGCGCGAGTCTCCGAGCCCGGGTGGCTACTCCACCGACTTTATGAAACATTTCGGCTGATTGCTACTTGGTGGCTACAGGTTAACGGCAAACTGATTTCATACACGAGTAAACCGAGTTACGGGCGTCGTCACAGAACCAATTCAATTTGGACGTACCAACAAGAGGGCCCGCCCTTGCTCGTCTATATCAGGAACCAAGTCCTCTATTGGCTTAGCAGGCTGTGGGGTGAAGGCACTCTGTGGTAGGGCCACCTCCTGGGGCCAGTCCTCTGCTGAAGGTACCCCAACAACACTGTGGGGATGACAGCCCAGAGGAGCGTTCTCTTCCTTCACTCCCAAAACAATGCGAGCGGTCATCCAAATTAAAATCTCAAAGACGTACCAACAAGAGGGCCCGCCCTTGCTCGTCTATATCAGGAACCAAGTCCTCTATTGGCTTAGCAGGCTGTGGGGTGAAGGCACTCTGTGGTAGGGCCACCTCCTGGGGCCAGTCCTCTGCTGAAGGTACCCCAACAACACTGTGGGGATGACAGCCGAGAGGAGCGTTCTCTTCCTTCACTCCCAAAACGATGCGAGCGGTCATCCAAATTCAAATCTCCAAATACTCACTCAAAAATCTTTCCCAGCTGATCGACGTCAGAGTTCCCGCGAAACAGAGGTCTGCAAGCGAGAGGAAACCTTTGAGTGTCACTCGCTCCTGCGTAAAATCTCACAGCCAAATTTGACAAGCGATCCACACACATTAAAACATTCAATAGTCAGCACGAGTATGACGATATTTCCTAGTGATTGCTTTTGTGTTTATGTCATGTTTGATAAATAGTGATCGCGAACTGCTCCAGGTGATTTATGTTGCAATACTGTCAATTTGTGTTTGTTGGTTTCTTTAATTGCATGGTGATAATGGTGTTCATAAGACATGGATTAAGTCAAATTAAGTCCCCAACCAAAGCTGGCCCGGGTACCAAATTTACAGCCCAGAATTTTCAAGCTGTCATTTGTGCCGATTTCATGTCCCTCAGCATACATGTACTTGCTAGTTTGGAATACAAACGAACACAATACATGCACTGTATACATACTGCGTTGATAAACTGCGTTTTTTTAGCCCGAGGCAAAATGGCAAGTGTCACTCTCAAGGAAAGAAGTCTCACACTTGCATCTCCATCTCGAGCATTCAGCATTGTGGGGTTGTACTACTGTATTGGTAACGCGAGTGAAAAAAAAAAACCAAAAACGGGAGGAGAGCGGCAGCAAGACTGCTGGTGGTTCCTGTGGCTTTGGCCCGTCTTCGGAAGCCCGTGGGCGTCCATGTCTGCTTTGGCACGGGCGCAAATTCCAGGAGTCAGCATCAGACCAAGTTTGCCGTCGGTAGCACGGGACGGAAAAAGCCTAAGCATCCTGTGCGCGTTCGCTCGCTCTCGCTTTCGCTGTGAATGTTAAGTCGTAAAATAGGAGTGGGAGCGGCGTGTGAAAGAAACATGTGATTATCCGAACAGAGAACGACGCATGGGAACTCGACCTTCCCGCTGAAGGAAACACGGAGGTGTTGATGTCAAAGGCTTAATTTGAACAATGCCCTTTGTGCCCAACAAATGTGGTACTTCTGAAAATATGTAAACATGCTCTATTTTTAGTCATGCAACAGAAGATGGAACAATGCACATCTTCACTGTTTTCCTTTTTTTCGAAGCCTCGGGAGGGCTGAAAAGTGAAGCTGTTCCACTTTGCATCGTCTCGCAATTGCTGTTCGGCTTTGCCAAAGTATGAGCAATGCTTTGAGAAAGGTAAGCAATTAGACAGGGCAGACTGTGGCTTGGCACTCGGTACGCTAATCATCACACAAATCAAAGTGTTCATGAACTTAATACCGAATTTGTTGCAGCTATTCAATAAGCGGCCTCCTTAATTGACGAGACATTGTGCGTCTGGTCGCTGACGGCTCGCTGAAAACCCTTTGAAAGGCAACCGCATCTGCGCGGGTTTCCAAACCGCCTTTGAGATCACACCAAACCAGTTTTGAAGATTCACCTCCAGCAAAGCCATCATGCCAAAACAAGTAGGGCTGATAATTCCGAGAGGTCCGTTTTTAAACCTGCTGCGGATTGCCGGTTTGTTAGCGGTGACCACAGGCATGCGCGCGCAGTTGCGGACGCGGTGCTAGTCTTCACACTGGATTTGTCCTCCTTCGTGAGGTTTGCATCCGCATATACTGTTCAGTGTTTATGCCCCCCCCGCCCCACACCACCCCGCCCTCCACTATACACACACAGGGAATATGCTAGGTTGGGAGAGTCAGCTGAGTCATGCTTCCTTCAGCGCCAATACTTCTCTGTCCCACATTCCACTGCAGCAACCTCTGGAATGCCTGTGTGTATGTGCATGTGTGTGCGCATGGTTGCACGTGAGTGTCAAGTTGGGTGGCAAATCAAGAGGAAAAAGAAGGTTTTGTCTGATGTGGTGATGCTTTTTTTTTTTTTAACCCCCCCCCCCATCCTCTCCCCGCCCTGTTTTAAACAGTATAACATATGCACAAGGTGTTGGTGGAGGTTTATCAATAGAAAAAGCCTCCGGCGTAACAGACTGTGAGAAAGTCAACATGGATGCGAGGCTTCTGCCGGACTATTAACACAACACGGTCGACCTTTTTAAGATTAGAGGAATGTCAACAAGCAGGCGGTTTTCTCTTTCTCATTCACTTCCAACCATGACTCACATTGACACTATCCGAGCCATGCAAATGTAGACTTGTATGATATTTGCTCAAATTCCTTTCACAACAATGTAGTCATTAGAGGAGGCATTAAACATTGGTATGTTAGACCTTGAAAGGGGAAACTTGCCCCGGGGGGGGCTCATCGCTGATGTTTATGGGTCTTTACATTTTCTTCAGGCTACATTAAGCATTGCGCAAATTGAGCTTGTGTCTTATGCCGCATCTCAAAATGTCAGGAAAACCCCTTTTTTTTTTTTTAAACCGGGCAATAAAGCAAAGTTGACTGATTTACAATTTCATAATGGAGAAAGATTAGGCTTGAGGCGTCACGTTAAAAAAATGCACGGGCAAATACACAGAAAAAAGGCTTTGTTGAATTGACTCCATTTTATTCTGTCAAATGTTTGCACAAAATAAAATCTGGATTTTTGTGTGGTCTACTTTAAAAATGTGTCTGGACCCAGATGTTTTAATGTTGTGCAACCACTTGACAAAATAAAATAAATTAAATCCAACACACCTTTTTTTTTTGTTTTTTTTATTTTAATTTCCCCCCTCAAAAATTGTGAATACATTTGAATCATGTGCAACCCATACATGTTCAAACTAAGAAAATTTAAAGAAACTTTTTTTACGGTGTATTTTCGATGTATAAGGCTCACTCACAGATTTGCAAAAAGTCACAAAACAACATCCATGGTTGCATTTCCATGCCTCTTGGCAATACTCAGGTTGAGTAAGTTTCTTTTTTTTCCCTTTTCGTTTAACAGCCAACATAAAAAAAAAAAAATTGGCGTATCACCAATGAAAAGCTAATTTTGAGTGCAACCTTAACACGCAATCTGATGAACACAAATATTTCATGCGGCACCTATTCTGATGGTCACAAATAATCAGCGGGGGATCTTTCTGAATTTTCAAGTGGCTAAAATCTTGGATTTGGGGCGGGAAGACGGCAAACAATAGATTTCTCTCCCATTGTTCCGCCCCCACCGCGACAGCATCGCCCAGGTGCCCTTTAATCTCTAACAGGTGGCCTTTTAAAAAGCCAACTTAATCACCTTGAGAGAGACCGAGTGTGCACATGGGCGTGTGTGCGTGTCCATTACAGCGTTCTCTGCCCGGCTCTCAGTCCTTAGGCACAGTTGGACAAAATAGAGTGCGAGGAAATGACATGTCAGAACTTTTGTGTTGTTGTTGTTAAATAGTAGGCTACTCGACCTGTTGGACCACAGACAATTTGACAAAACAATTCCAAACATCTCAAAAAGTAGTTGCACTAAGGAGTATCCCGAATGTTATTTTATTATTGGACTACTGGACACTTCATATTGCTTGATGGCGCTCCACACCATTTGCATATTTGTTGCTGTCTCAGATCTTTTGTAATTTGTAATGAATTAGGATTTTTTTTTTTGATGAACGTGACAACAGCTGGAGTCAGAATTAAGATGAAACACAAAAAAAAAAAAAAAAAAAAAAAAAAAAAAGGGACAAGTCTTACGCAGAGGGAACGGCGCTGCTTGGTTTGTTCAATGCCACTTCATTCATATTTTGCTTTCATGTGCATATTTACTCGCAGTCAGTCACACTGTGCCAGTCCCACCGCATGTCGTGCATACACCGCGGGTCAGCGTGTGTGTGTGTGTGTGTGTGTGTGTGTGTGTGGTGGCCGTATGTGGACGGTTGGGGAAGGAAGCATAAATTGCCATTCTTATCTACATGAAAGCAGACCATTAAAGTCGGTTGGTCAACAGAAACATTTTTTTTTTTTAACCCTTCATATTTAAACCGGCGCTGTGACGAATATGGCGATCCCGAACGGATTTTAAAAATGGGAAGGAAGTAAAGCTTTTGACTGGGTTTGACGGAAAATGAGGTTTTTAGCTTGGGATGGCTTAAGGGTGCGAAGTCAGTTAGACCACAAACTGACAAACACCTTCTGTATATCAAGAAGTGGCGTCTCGACTCATGTGCTGCAACCACAGCAAGTTGCCAGTCATTACTGGAATAGTTTGATAAGCCAACTGTGATGACACTGCCCCTCGCAGCTCAAAATGCATCGGACAGATGGGTTTTTGTCTCACAGCAGCATGATTTGGGAAAACTTCAGCCTACAAACAAAAGGTGGAATTATTTTAATGTATTCCCCCATCGTAAGGGAACTCGTTGTTTTCAACATGCGGTTGAGACTCCAGGTACCAATTCATCTGACAGACTGTGAATGTGCAAAGCTAGGTGCTGCTGTTTTGGTTAGCAACGTGGCCCAGGAGTTAATTTGTCAGTGTCAATGACAGTATTGTCTACCTCGCAATTAAATGCGGCACGGGATCTATTCGAGGGACGACCACTATTTGAGGAAATACTGTACAGCTATTTATAACACGTCTTCCCTTTCAGGTTTTGCATCTGGTACCGTCTATTCATGAACCACTATCTCACATGCTACAGTGAACACATTTCGCCTCACCTCCTTCTGAACATCTCAGCAAAGATGCAGCCGACGCTCCACAGGTCCACTGGGGTCGCGTAACTAGACTGCAGCAGCACCTCCGGGGCTCGGTACCACAGTGTCACCACCTATAGCGTTCGGAGAGAGCGGTGGTGAGAATAAAAGGAAGGCAAAGTGCGAGATTTTTTTGATGTATTGTCACACCATCCAACATATCAGAAAGAAGTACTACTTTCCATTCAAAATGCAATAATCCATTACGGTCACTTTACTTTTGGCGTGATTTTCAAGTTCCTTCGTGCTTCTCTAATGAGTAAGCAGCGACATTGTTGTAAAAAAAAAAAAAAGTCTCCAGATACAACTCGGTGACCCTCGAGTTATAATGGAAGGGTTCCAGGTGCTTTCCTAAAGGCCTTGATTTATCATCAACCTCTCGCTCTTGTTCTACCTCCTCAGGCACCGCAGCACGCTGATCAAAATCAAAATGCGAGCACCGGAAAGCAACGCGAGTGCTGTGAGTCACCTACACGTATCATGGTTGCATGCAACATAGATAAAAAAAAAAAAAAAAAAAAAGAAAGTTATTGACTAATGAGCTTGAAAAATGATCCTGACAACAAATGCAAAGTTTTGGATGAGGTCTTTTCTACTGTACCCATAAATTTCGGGAGCCGGTTAGCAGACCTGATTTAATGGATACTTAGGCGAGGCCGATTAGGCTAGTCAAACATATCAGTCTCATTTCTACTTTAAAACTATTAATAGAGTTGCGGGTTGCTTTTTTTGCAGATGTGAGATACTCTCATCTCCTGTTTCCTGCTCAAGTGGAAATGAGGGAGGAAGCTGGGGCAAGTAGGCTGTGAATGCGAAAGCTACTGACCAAATAAATACCCTGATAACTCAAGATCGGAAGACTTCAGTATTCTACAATACCTTTTCATTAGCATTTTGGGGGATTTCCTTTACCACATTATGTGTAGAGAGAAGTTAGCGCGGTTCATCTAGCTCACACGAGTAACCCCAACTGTTGTTTTAATACGCAACCAAACCGTATAACTTCTTTTTACAATTTTATGGCAGTTAAGGATGTTAACAATTAAAGAGCCTCTGTAGTGAAATATTTGATGAAGGCCGCGGTTTCACTTTCAAATTATTTTTACGACTTTTTTTTTTCACTTGGGAATAGATTACTTCAACGCTAATTATTTACCATGATAAATTTACTTTGGGAATTTAAAGAGGAAGGGAGAGACAGAAAGCTGGTGATTGAAAAAAAAAAAACCCACACAAACATCGTTACTGATGATAATGTCCAAATTTCGTCTCATTATTGCTGCGGTTTGCACGCATAAAATGTATCTGTTCTTATCCTTCCTCCCGCTGCATCATTTCAAAGCAGTGCGAGCACATTGCTTGCACGTGCAGCCTTCTAAGAAGAACCACAGACCTGGAGTTTGCAGTATATCCGCTGCAGTGCAATTCAGTTATTCGAAAACCTAAAATGTTACCCACAAGCGCAGATATCGTCCGCATTTAAGTCACGCATTTGGCCCCACACGCATACCAAAAAAAAAAAAAACCCCAGAAAGAAAGATGGGGTGACTGACACTGACAAGTTCTGACAAGATACCATTTTTGTCGCAGCCAATCTATGGTCGGGTGATACCTTATTATGCTTCTGAACCGCATAATAAACTCGGCACACTTGTTTCTGTCGTCGGCGCTTCGTAGATAAGACCCCAAACGAAAAGTGTTTTTCTGAACTCCTCCACAGTACGCTCAGATCATATCCCACTTTCTTCAACTTAAGTATTTCATGATGCTGCACAGACTAGAGTGGAAGAGCAAATGTAATTTGACAGCTGAAGGCATCATGCGAACCCTTTCACACGCCGTTTGTCACTTTCAAAAAAACAAAACAAAAAATAACCCATAAAAAAAGTCACATCATTCTTCAATTATGACACACAGATTTTATTGGGATCTTTCATGACAAGAAGTTATCGGGGTTTTCTGCCTCTTTTCCGTGATTGTCTGAGTCACCTTATAATTTGGTCTTGCGCTCCATGTGTTCCTGTAGTTCATCGGTGAATGTTGCAAGAGTAAATATACAGGTGGTAGACGGAGGCGGGGGGGGTGCGCAGGAAGAAGGAAGTTCGAGTTTTGTTTCTATGGTCTGCTGTTCTATGTTGTCAGTATTTTTCTTGGCTGCTTTCTTCCCTTCTTCCACATGGTAACACAAACAACAGAGGGGGTCAGACACAGCTGAGCGGAGGAAAAAAAATAAAAAAAAAAAACCTAAAAAGTTAGTCAGTCTGTGTGTGGTGTACGAGGCTGACTCCAGATCGGAGGACAGCATTCTGAGAATTCCTTTCAGCTGAGAGCATCCTCCCCCTCACCGCCGCTAACGCTGTCCTCCACTCTCACTGCTGAGCTCTCAGCCCCAGAGGACCTCCAGACCACCTGGGTCAGACCTCCGTGGCCGTGCCACTTGCAGCGCCTGGACCCCTGCCACCGGCGTTCTGCGCGAGTACCACGGAGGAGGACAATAGGGTGCATGAATGCCAGTGTGTGGGTGTTTGTTAGCGAATGTGGGAGTGGTTGCACGTGACTGAGTGAGCACCTGCGTTCGCCTGGTTGAATACGCTCCGGTGCCAAAAGCGTTGGTGTGAATGTGTGTGGCTCCGAATGAATGCCAATTATCTCAAACATGTGCCTGATGTTTTAAAAGGCTAATTGCAGTATATTATCTATCATCCCTGTGGGCGATTTAACATTAAACATACTCAAGATAGTTGATAGCAAAGATCAGTTGAAAGCGTGCGGCACAGACAGAGCCATTGATTTATCTTGCAAGCATTGTAAATAGAGTGGGCACATATAACCCCACACACCAATAAATAAGGGACACCATTAAAAGCTTGAAACTGTTCATTCACTTATTGCAGAATAAGTGCAGTAAACGTTTGGTGTTGTAACATTTCCCAGCTTGTACACATTATCAGTCTTAGGTCAGAATGTGATTACATTCCTGAGAGCAATTCAGCACAAATTAAAGTCTCCCAAAGTGAATCTCAGAGGAAAGGGGATAAAAGGTTCAGGGTGTGTAGGCAGGCCACATATGGGAAGAGCAGAGGATATAGAAATAATTATAATACGAGGGAAAACAGTCTACAGGCTTCTCGGCCTGAGAGTCCCCGCAGGCCCCATTCGGTCCTTGTAACGACAATATTTCATGACTCGCTCGCTCCTTTCCCCTCTTGTTCTGCAATTTATAGTCGCAACAATCAGACTGCACCTGGCCAAGAAAGGACATAAAAGAGAGATTATCGGAGATATTGATCTATGGCTCGAAAAAAAAGTGCTAGAGCAGCAGACAAACTGTTACAGTAAAACAGACTGTTGCCAAAGTATGCACAGCATACAGGAATGCAGCATGGGGCCCTCAGCAAGTGAAACAAAGACAGCACAGTCAGTGGCTCCCTCTCCCCTGTGCTACCACATCCGCACATCATTAGCTGGAAAATTCCAGATATATGCCGTCATTTTTTCTCTCCCCCCACACCCCACACCCCCTCCCCTTCCTGCTACGGACACAGCTTCCATATCCCGTTGCACTTTTGTGTGTGCACATGCTCGACTCCCGCTGCTTAGAATCCCCACTTGGCGACCTGGAGCGACGCCAAAGACTGGTGACGATTAATATAGTTTGGGGCCAGGGTGGGTAGAGGGCGATGCTGGTGAGATGTAGGAAGCACGGTGCACGTGAGGGTGAATGTAAATATAAACAGTGAAAGCAAAGCCTTGACCTGCGTGCATGTAGCAAGCTAAGTGTGTTAGCTCAAGTTCTGGGACAGCTCCTTCGCTTTTGGCTGCAGTCAAAGCATAGAAGTGTTTCCTTTTTTTCCTCCCCCATGTGGAGCTGTTTGAGGAGATATCTAAACAATCCCCGAGTGCGCTACACGTGCTCTCCTGCGTTGACCCCCCCCCCCCCCCCCCCCCCCCCCCCCCCCCCCGAGCTGTTTGAGGAGATATCTAAACAATCCCCGAGTGCGCTACACGTGCTCTCCTGCGTTGACCCCCCCCCCCTCCCCTCCCTCCGCCTCCCTGGTCTTCATTGTTCCCCCTTTACAAATAGCAGAAATGCATTTCAGCAAAGCAGATCAATTCAGAGACTACTACTGCCCTGACAGGCAGATATAAGTGTTCTAAGTCTTGCTTGATGTGCTACCGGATTATAAAAGGGCTCATATGGTAGACATTGGGCTCTTGAAAACACATTTATAAGAACCATTCTTCTGTTTTGAGTGCAGGAAATATGGTTTTGATTTGTGTCGCCTGAGATATGCTTCTATTTTTGTAATTGCAGAGGGACGCCTTAATTGGTCAAAAATACCTTTAATGGAGGGAGGGGGGGAGACATCTGCTTTCAGAAGAAGCTATAGAGGTGTCTGCGGTCCATCTTCAAGAATATTTACTTGCAAAAGCATGCTTGCTACAAATCTTGCTCCCTCCTGTTAAATATAGCAACCCTATAGCAAAGCAGAAAAACTAAAATCGAACAAGTGATGAGGCTTGGTGGTATTCTCCTTGAGTCCAATTTGACAAGCGATGAAATCCACATGACATGGATGAATGGAAGCTAATTGTTATATCACGTCATATTTTGCCAAATGAGCGAAAAGAGAAAATAGGCATAACACCTAAAAAAAGACCGTGCTTCCAACGTCAAAATGATATCAAAAGTTGGGATTGAGGCTTGATGTTGGATCCGTACAAACGAGCAGAAACATACCTAATAAAAATGCTGTTATATGTACGCCACACCCGTAGGTGGCGATGTAACTTTGAGACCCCCGATCTTTTTTTCAGTCTTCAAAATGTGCATACAAGAAACCAAAACGTTTGAACATGTCCACAGTTTCACTGATCTGTGTAATCAGAATTCAAGAACCAAGAATCTCGGCTGGTGGTTAGGATTGGTTGGATTTACAGTTTTGAAATAAGAAAAGGTCAATTTTCTTTCATCAAGTAAAAACTGCACTGTGATCTATTCTCGATGAAACATTTCGCCCAATAAATTTGGGAAGCTGGTAATCGGCCCGACTCTTTCCTCTGTGGCACGTCAGATGAACCCATCAGCTTTGCCCATCTGCCTGTCACTCACGGCAGTTCAATGAAGCCGGAGCCAGACTGGGTCATTAAAATGTCATTAACAAAGCAACTGCCCCCCGGGGACTACCAGAGGCAGCCTAATCGAGGCCTTGGTACCAACCCAATGGGTTGTCTCTCTCTCTCTCTCTCTCTCTCTCTCTCTCTCTCTCTCTCTCTCTCTCTCTTTCTCAAGATATGCAAAACTTCATAAAATGGTGATGTGGATGGTCAGCCAAATGCAATCATACACATCTACTTTCAGATTTTTCTTGTCAGAATAGCTAAACACAGTAGCGACCAAAGCAGCACTGATGACTCTTAAGAGGTTTTAACCTAGATTTTCAACTACCAGTCACAGACAAAGATCATGAGAATCTTGACTGAGAAGGCATCTTTGTCATTTCAAATGGAGGATACAAAAGCCTTCAGTGCTATGCTAATAAAGTCATTTGACCAGTGTTAGAACACGTGTATGTCTAAGGTTGATGAGCGTGAAGATGCTAAGATGATTCTCTTGATAGAGAGCACAGTGGCAATTTCAATTGGTAAGACTGAAACACCGGGGAATTCGAAGCAACTTTATGCAAATAGCCGCCGCAGACATTGACATTTGAAAAGTGCAAAATGAATCACAAAGAGAAGTATTGGTCCCTTAAGCAACAGCAGTTCTCCACAGCCCATCTGTCTGCCAATAACGGTGGCATTAGATGACTAAATCAGTAACTGCTGCTCTGTGTTGGGCAAGGGGGAAGATCCTCTTAAATGGTGTGGCGCTTCGTGTACAATACATGCAATTCACTAGTCTTGTCGATAATAGCTTCTATTAGCCGTGAAGAAGCGCAGAATGGCTCAAAGAAGGCGGTGTGTGATTGTATGTGGGGTTTTTTTGGGGGGGTTAGACTCAGGAACATTTATCTGGGAGCGAAGACTCGTGCTGCACTCTACCACACAAAGCTTTAAACTCACACACATGTATTATTGTGGCCTTTGCTGTACAAGTATAATCAAAGAAGGAAATGAGTGTGAGTGAGTGTGTGAGTGTGTGTGCACAAACCAGCTCAAAAGTTAAACGCCTTGGTGTGCACAACTGATTTACGGTTCGCGATGTGTGTCACTCACACCTCAAGGTGAATTCCCTTTTTAGAATGCAACCTTCGAAATGATACTCTTGCCAGTAATACCAGTGTTAAGGCAATGGCGGGAAGAAAAGCTCCCACTGCACAGCACACATTGTGGAGGCATTATATTAATGTGAAAATCATTTGACACTTCAGATATGTTTCGGTGCGTCCCTATAGTGGACCATGAGAGCTGCCGAAAGGATCTCTGCACAGCCGTAGTCCAAATGTTAATGAAGAACAAATACTGCACATTAATATTAATTCTGTTTTTCTGATGCTTTTAAAATGTGTGTGCGAACTAACTGGGTCATTTGAAATACTGACAAGCCAGCAAGCATCAAGCTAGCTGGGTAGCTCGCCAGCTAGCTAGCTAGCTAGCTAAATACACAAATGAATAAATACATAATCAGTGGTAAAAATATTAGAAATCAATCCCTAAAATAAAAAGTTAATGTTGTGCATGGCTAGTAAGAAAATATCCCTTAATAATTCAGTACAAAAAAAATTATACTGAGTGACATTCGCTGCCTGTGTAAATCTTTAACGTTTCATCTCTCCCTAATTCAATGATTACCAAAGCGTTCTTCAGTCTCCATTTTATCTGGTCATCGGAGCCCACAAGCTCAGCAGCGGGACATCAAAGTACCGAAAGCGGGAAAGGGAGGGGTCCTTGCGTCTCCTCATCTGTTCCATCCCTGTCTACTATTGCCACTGAGGAATTCCTGAGAAGAGCCACAGGAGCCCTTGGCTCTTACTTTACACTGAGAAATTCGATCATGTGACTCACTGGAATGGAACTGCCCGCTCATGTCCCACGAGCGCCCGACACATCACATTTACATCATTTTTCATCTAACTCCCACGGGATGGGAGGGGATTTGACAGCAGCATGTCTGCACCTTTATTATATTAAAAAAAAAAAAAAAACATGAATGAAGGTATCTCTCAAGGTAAGCAACTGTAAGATCGGACTTTATTATCGGTGAGATATGGACTCACCACAGAGGTGAGCGCCATCTGGAAGCTGTAGATGCGGGCGAGACCGAAGTCGGCTAGTTTAATCTGTCCTCCGCTGGTGACCAAGATGTTCTGCGGTTTGAGGTCACGGTGAACTACACGGTGTGAGTGCAGGAAGTCCAGCCCCTGGAGCAGCTGATACATCATATCCTGGAAGAAAACAATTAGTCAATAACTTTTTTTTGGAGGGAGGGGGTTAAATAATTACATTTGAACAGAGAGATATTCTCACTGGCTAAACATGGAAACTAAGTAACCTCAATGTCATAAGCTTCACTAAAATGGCAGACAGAGTTTGGTAGAAAAGGAGTTAATGGAGGAGGCCCGTGTCTTTTCTTGTTGACTGCGGCAGATGTTTGATAACACACACACACACACACACACACACACACACACACACACACACACACACACACACACACACACACACAAATGATAGAAGGAGGCCCCGCTCTATACAAGCATGGAGCTCTGTTTCATAGCAGCTGCTCCGCTGGAGTTAATTGGCATTCCCTCTCATTTTATGACCACAGGCTGACCTCAAAAATGGCCATAGGCACTGCATCGATAACGCTTGAGCTCAAGCAAACGAGCGCGAGGAGAAGGCAACTATGTCGAACCAGCTTGGACTTGTTCCTCCCAAACTGAAATGCTTCCCAAAACAGGTCTTGCACCTGTAAACAAGTAACGAGCCATTGATAAAGAAAGTGGTGGTTTTGGCTCTGGAATGAAGCTCATACTGAAAGGGCACAGCGTCGGTTTTGGATCGTTTATGGTATTCCAATAAAAGACCAGCTTGCATATCCAAATTCAGAAGGGGAAGGGTTGGACGTATACTGCGTATGGAAGCCACTTAAAAAAGGAAGGAAGGAAAAAAAAATTCGGGCGGCTTGATGCGTCTTATCCCAGCCTTTACATACACACACGCTCCTGTAAATACACACATGCCCCTTAGCCCACCAGCCTCCCACCCTCCCCAAAAAGTCCCCAGCCAAGACCTCACAAGTGACATGGAGCTGAGCCCACAGCTCTATTCACTATCTGACCAGCTGGTGAGTGAGTCAAAGAGGCCTGCACACTCAAGCAGAAAACATTAGCAAGCGGCGCGGGGCTGGCTGCTGTGCAGCGCGGGAGATGGGACACCCCGCCGTGGACACGGTGGACACGAGGACCCGAGGGCGTGCGCGTTTGTATACATACAAATGGCGTGTCCCCTGGCCCCGTGTCCACCTAAACACACAACACAACAGTCCGATTTGTGTACACCTCAGCTTGTCGGGTGTCGAAGCTTGGTGTGTAATAACGCGTGTATGTGAAAATGTTCAGTGTGTTTGTATGTCTGTGTGTGGTAAGGGGCTAGTCGGGGGGTCCTGACCAAGGGCAGGCAGGATGCATAAACAGACCTTCCTTTCTACATCTCCATCCAGCCATGACCTAGTGAGGAGGGCAGCAGACAGACAGGGTCATAGAACAGAGGGAGGCAGTTGGTTATTTTAACGTGCGTGTGCGTGTGTGTGTGTGTGTGTGTGTGTGTGTGTGTGTGTGTGTGTGTGTGTGTGTGTGTGCGCGTGTGTGTTGACACAATAGCACCCCCCAGTCAGTTCCTCTCTGCTTTAAATAACCATTTCACCGTGCTTCCTTTCAGCAGGATTTGCTAGTAAATGCTAATTACCTCAGAAGTGTGACTCTTAGACAAACACACAAACAATGATGCCCCCCACTTGGCCTCAGCACCTTCTTCTCTGATGTATCAATTTCTACTACAACTGAGTCAACTGTACAGGTGATTGACAGCATGGCAGATACAATAGACCCAAATATAACAGTATTGCAAAGTTTAAAATTAAGTTGAAACTGCCATACGTTTTAAGCAAGTCAGTTCCCATAAATCAATGGGGCGTTCGAACTCAGACAAGTCCTTAGGCCACCTTGGACTGGAAGAGACAATATCACACAAAAAGGCAACCGGTTTGACCCCACAAAAACAGAGGGGCCAGGGAGGGAAAAAAAAGTAGTAAGCCCTCTGCAAGATGCAGCCACAACATGGCTTTCTGGGTATGCTTCCTTTTCTAATGCAAATGTACCAAAGGCGGCCATATTGTTTATTGTAGTGAGGCACAATATGGGACATCTGCCGGTTAGCGTTAGTGTAATTCCCTCCCCATGCTTCATTAACCTCCCCCTTTATAGGCTCAGAGAATAGAGCTGTGGTAGCCTGGATGATGGCAGCGGAGAAGGGTGGGTGACACCCAAGCGCTGGCCCGGCCGAGGCGCACTGAGCCTGGGGTAGCTCGGCTGCTTGATGTCCTTCCAGCTCATTTAATTCCAGGAGGGGGGCCCCTTTCATCAATGAGCATGTGGTGGGTCTCCAAGCCGAGTGGGTGGTGGGGGCAGTGGGGACAGAGGTGGACAGGCTGGCAAGGAGTGGGGTAACTGGTTTTATGCCGGTTTAGGGTCAATTGTATCTGAGCTTTGTTAACATGTAGGGGATTTAATGGGTAACATCAACAGGCAAAGGTGTACCAAATCTGACGGAAACCACAATCCGATTTGGTCCAATGAATTTGCGGTCTTGTGGAGGCGTTTCGGGGGTGAGCAAGTGTAGCAGCGTCCACACTCCTAGAAATAACAAGGTATGGAGCCAGTGTCATATTGTCAATCCATCATTGCCCTTTTGTCTTCTAAAGGCTCGGGTTGCATGGATGCTCAGGGAAAGCAAAGCGGGCGTGAAGATGAGCCACAAACCGACTCAACCGGTGGCTCACCCTCCACAGATCTGACGGTGGGATGAGCGGCATAGCTGTCCAGCAGGGCACATTGTGAACTAACCATTATTTCATTCATAAATCACAAATTTGGTTGATTAAAAAAATGTCATTGATCATAACCAATGGTGGACATTTTACAAAAATATTCCATGTCAAAAGAATTTGCACTGGGGAGAAAAGAACTTGAACATATTCATGCATCACAATTATTTGCAATTGTGAAACAGTTAAGAGAATACATTGAGAACAAATAAGAGATGAGCTACTGATTTTTTTTTCTTCAGAGAAATAATTTGTGAAAAAAATGTTACATATATGACTAGCATTGTCGTATACTTTTGAATGGCAGAAATTAATGCCGATAATCTTTGGTGAATTAAAAAAAAAACTGAATCTGGGTATACGGTGTGTGATAAAGTAATACAAGCAAGAAATTACAGCGCTAGACACTACATTGGGTAAAGACCTCAGGTCAGATCCACCTGTTTCGTCTATGCTTACACAGTTTATCATCAATATCGCTGTTTGACAGAACGTTCACACATAAACTGGGCCCTGGGGTGGAAAAAAACCGACAGATATTCGAGCTTCCACAAGGTCTCCATTTCAAAACTGACACTTAAACTCAGAGGCCCAAAAATGGAGCTATAACTCCCCAGGATTGTAAACGTTAAATCACGGGACCTAGGGGTGAAACACGATTAAGAGTTCTTTTAAAAAAAAGGTTTGTGGGAAAGATTAAAAAAAAAAAAAGTCACAGAGGAAGGGTTAATGGCGCGTCCAGTTCCGACCTTTGGGCAATTTGTAAGTGAACACTCAGTGGATTTTAGCACACTGGGGCAACCGATGAAGGCACTTCCGTATGCTCATAATGGCCCCACACAGTATAACTTACAATCCAATATAAAACTTTTCCGTAAAAGCAAAAATCTCCTTTTCCATTTTATAATAGAAGTCTACTTGCCATCAAGTCACCTTAGTGGTTTGATATATGTCACAACAATTGAACACAAACTACAGAAACTCGTTGCTGGTCGTCAACTCTTCAAGCTGTCGACTAGTAGCCACTCGTCGTTACCTTGATGGTTTCTGGCGGCACGCCGGGGTCAGGGGCTTTCTCTAGGTAGGTGGTCAGGTCTTGATCCACATGCTCAAAGACCAGGGTGAGTTTGGTTTCGCGGTTAGTCCGAGACACTGTACACACATCAAAGAGCCTGGAAGAGGAGGAAAAGTGAGCGATCAATATAGCTGGCTGATTGCGCCGAGCATCCAAAAACGAGTCACGTTCAAACTATTATGTTTGATATAACGCATAAGGTCAGTCAATCTCGCGTGACTTCATCTCACTGAACATCCGAAGGATTAATTCCACAGAAGGTGTTTTGCTTTGTTGTTGTTGTTGTTTTTTGGGGGCGGGGGGCACCATATAATGTACCAACGATGGCAAAGAGAAAAAAGTGGGAACCGAAAGTGGAACTTGCTGCAACATAGGAAAGAGTTTGGCAGCCACAGGATTGCTTTGCTAACACCTTCCTGTTCTATCTCCGCGTACGTGTCAGTCAAGCAAAGTGTGAGGAACAATACTTTATTTTAGTGTCACATAGTTGAGATAATTTTGGGTTTTTTTTTTGTTACTTAAAATTTTTGGTCTATCAGAATCATTTGGAAGTGCACCAGTGTCACGGAGCAACTTTGTGTCCCACTTTGGAGGTTTCACTAAATTACTCGTGTGAATATTTGCGACAATATATGTCGTTCACTTGACATCACTTGACCAAATCAGGCAAAAGAGGTGAGCTGTGACAGCCGCTACCTGAGCCTTTAGGCATTGTGATGTCATTTTCAGCCAACATCAAGTGTCAGTAAAAGGCAAAATGGCCGCCCCCTGAGATGGATAAAAACTGGTGTATTTTTCTGCTTAATTCATCTTCCACAAACATATTATTAATCCAAATACCATGTTTAGCCTAGTGGGGGTTGGGGGGGGGTGCATATAACACATTACAAATATATATTTTTTTCGTAGTGACTCCCCTGAAACCTAATTGCCTCGACAAGATAAAACAATTTTTGACCGCTCTAAAAACCTTGTTGCTGCCATGTGCATGTTTGTTGAAAGCTTTGGAATCTTATTGAGTTGAATGATCACGAGAAAGCGATGCAGGAAAATAACAACATATTGTCCTTTCTAACCAATTTACCCTTGTAAAAACAAAGCTTTCAGCCATTAAAGGCTAGCAAACCCTAATCATCAGCGGTTAAGGTTGTGCCAAACGAGGCAACAAGCGAAGGCCAAGAATCCAGATTATGTCCGTAACGTGCCAAATGAGGCTTTGGTGAAAAGCTAAAACAAAAAACGATGCAGTGTGCCATCTTCAAAGAGCCGGGGGGGACACAAGCGGCGTTCCTCAAACAGCGCTATGACAACTCCTGATGCTCTTTGGCATGTTCAAGAGAGCTGCGGCAAGGGCGTCATCTTCAATCACAGTAGCGATGTCTGGAGGCGAAGGGAAACGTAATGGAAACCCAGTGGCCATGAGCTGTGTTGACACCGATTAGTTATTGGCATCACATGACCTCATCAAGTATGTCCAGTAAAGTCTAAATCAATGTCAAATATTGGGTCAGTGCAAGCGAATGATTACACCAAAACATGACGGGGAGTATTTAATCTGTCTTTATCCATTTCGGAAATAAATACATTGCGAGATCCCTCACTGACAAATGGGGAAATTTTTGAAGTGTTAGGATCCTACTGCGTCACATTAATTACAACTTCCATGCACGCAAAGAAAAGACGGAATATCTCTTTTAGTCCTCCGACAAGGCTTCATGTGTCCATGCCGACGCTCTTGAAAGAGGAGGACTGGAAATGCTCGAGTCAGTGGTGTGAATGAGAGGTGCTTCGTTCAAGGTATTAGTACCGCGTGTGCAATGTCAAAGAATAGATGACGCCCTTCTCTTGAAGCGTTGAGGTGAAACGCCCCTCACAGCTCGATTGTCGGCCGACAATGTGGGCTCTCAGCAGACACTCAACATATGGAATGAATAATGGAGCTCATTACCAACATCCAGCGGTTGCCGGCAGTCTCACAGAAGGGCCACAATGCACCCTTCCTGGCTTGAGGTGCTCGGTTATAATGTTTGGGTAAACTGGGGGGTCCCTGCACCAATTCAAAAAGCTTTCAACCATTACAGGAGAGACTCTAATGCCCCCCCCCCGCGCTTCCACAGTGGCAGATCTACACGCCAAACTGAGTTGACGGAACGGTTTTAAAATTAGGCATGTTTTTGGTCAAGTTAAAAATAATTCATCGCAATTGTGCTCAGACAAAGGCATCATCCCTCATTATACAATGATTCACTGAGGAATTATTGTTAGAAGCAAGAATGCGAATGCCATGCTTCTGTCATATCCGTTGAGGACTTCCCCGATGCATAATAGTGGCATAGATAACTGACTGGTGATTGTTTGAAATAAAAATGAAACTAAATGGCCTCAGTCAGCAGTTGACAATGGAATTAATCAAAACCTACCGGCCCAGGAGTGAAGCACGGGCCAAATGGAAATGGAAATTGGAAACATGCAGTCAAGCCAAAAATAATTTATACGTACCCTCGTCAAACTTTTGAGTTTTGTTTGTGTTTTTTTTTTTTTGGTAGATTCGGTTTACTGGAAATGGAATGACACAATAATGTCACAAAGACTGTAAGATGTTGTGCATAGTTTAGTGCCGAATTAAAAACACAAATTCAAATTAAACAATGTATCTTCAAACGTACCAGTAATGAATAACCACTGGTGATTCGAGAAGCAATATTCCCTAGGATGCACTGCATCGATAGCAAATTCATGAATAGTGGTACGAAAATGCGATTATTTAATCAAGAGAACACATCTGAGTCATTGATTCAAGCAAAAGAAAAGTCACTTAATTAGCCCCACGCGCCCCCATGATCATGTTAACTGAATTACCACCACGACAAGTTTTCAATCAACTTAGCTGTTGACATGTAAATTACGTCTCGGGTTGAAGCAATTTACCCACTCGTGACTAATCTACTTTTTGACTCACACGTCTTACATTCAAACAACATGCGCTAGAGAAGAAGGCTGTAATCATTCCAGCTGTGACGTCACGGTGAAATGTCCTATAGTCCAGTGGTCACCAACTACTGGGCCACAGACTGGTAAGAGGCCGTAGGACATTTGGTACTTGGCCACATAGAGAAACACCTTACAACACAAGATAAAAAGACAATGGCATTTAAAACATCCTCCCCCCAGCAGGGCGTTACTGTAGTTGTAATATCACCAACAACCACTAGATGGCAGATATGGCTTAGCTGCACCGACACTCGGTCTTATACTACTCTATACCACAACGTGAGACGGCCATTTTTTTTTTCGATTTGGAATGATCAAAATTTTGAGTGAGATGATTTTTGTGAGAAAATAAATCAATAAAAAAAATAATATCATGTACTTTATGTTGGTTTCTTCAGCAGCTTTGTGTCGTCCTTGAATGGTATTTTTTATGCAAGAGAGCGCTTTGCACTGAAATAAAACCGTATGTAGTTATTTAGTTGTTTGAATCGGATTTTTAATACATGCATGCAAAAAAATATATATATTTTGCATGCATGCATGCATGCATTTTGTTGGTTAGAAAGTGTGTGGCCCAATGCCACCCCCCGAGTAGACCCGGTGAAAACTGCCCATCCCTGATCTACATGCATTACTCCATGCCGCTTAAAGGGTTATAAGACTGGGACACAATGTTATTTATGAGCCCATCTATGGTGTTTTTCCATTTTATCAGCTGAGTGAACTTTCATAAGGCAAAGCAATGTGATTGTTTGAGATACACAGCATGGAATTCTCCCTGCTTTACACATAGTTTGTCTGTAAACTTCAACTCGGAGATGCATTTCATAGCTTGAAGCCTCTTTTTGAACGACTGTTCGCTACGTGCCAAAATGCTGCTTGTTTTTAAGTGAGTTGATCTTAATGACTTATACAATGCTAGCAGCTCATATTATACGTTGTACTAAATAGTGATTGGGTGGTAGAGAGTGCCTGAATAATTCCAAATACAGCCATGGTGAGCAACACATACACGTGCACATATTAGAGCAGGTTCTTACTTAAAATGAGAGTTTGGCCACACACACACACACACACACACACACCTTTTCTCCCCAAAACTTACCTGACAACATTGGGATGCTCAAAGGCTTCCAGCTGCCTCAGTACCGCCACCTCCCGGATGGTTGAGAGAGGCATCCCCTCTTCCTCCGTCTGGACGCGAACTCGTTTTAGGGCAACAAATCGTCCCCCGTTCTTCAGATCTCTGGCTTTGTACACTTTTCCATAGGCGCCTTCTCCAATCTCGGCCACGGGCTCATACTGCGTACCAATCGTTTCTTTGTCCATTTTTGCTTATTTTTTTTCCCTCCTCGTCTTGTTGAAAATAGTGCGGGGATTCCCAGCGAGGCTGACGAGCCAGACTTTCTCACCGAGACATATTCACAGGAAAAAGTGGGCACGTGCAATGCCTAGATGACAGAGAGACACGGATGGAGGTACACACCATCTTTGTCAGAGTTGGTCAAAATGTGCCCCAGGTAGCAATTACAGGACTGTCATCATGTTTTTTCCCGACTATCACTACAGCAGCTTCGATGCCTCCCAACTTGCACTCCTCCTCCTCCTCCTCCTCCTGTTACGCTTAACATGTCCTCCTCCTCTTAAAACAAAGTTAAAACACAAGAAAAAAACATTACTTTAACGTCAGTGTTTTTATGCTAGCTCTATGTTAAACACGCAGTCTGTTGCGTTCAAAGACTCACCGCACATGCAAATGTTCCAAGACATGGACTGTCTCGCGTTAAAGGAAATCGAACAGCATTTAAAGAGAACAAGCAGAAATAAAGTACATGCTAACTCGTTTTGAGTGCCGAATCTAGCCTCTTGTCCTGTGTCCATTTTTAGCAACATTTGTTATGAGCTAAAAGTTTGTCACTGAGGCCACCCAAACGTTGCGAGCACGTGGCTGTCTCCTGGCTGCATTGTCTAAACTTCAACAGTTTCAAGTCCTTTTAAAACGCTAACAAAAATTGCCTTTCATACATCAAGCCTCGTATTATTACCCCAAGACTTGCGTTTTAGGTTTTAATAACACTTTCATTCTCAATAACGGCTACGACTATTTTTAACACATTTTAATTGATTAAAAATTAAAATAAATTCAATCGCGTGGTTGAAATGCTCCATTTTGCCTGCTAAATATAACTGGACACAAGTGCAACATGTACACACACTTTTAGTCTCACATTCAACACGACTTTTAGTGTTTACCTCGTTTTATGTTGTCAACAATATGTCGCAACGTCGGCATGTCCGATAAAGTGAGGAGGCACCCGGGTCTCCGACAAGGAAAAAAAAAAGGAAAAAAGGGTCGCTCAAACGCATCCCTGTCCGCTGTACTCCATGCGGGGGCCACACAGGTAGCTGTTGGACGGTGCATGCTCTAAACCCCCATCCCTCAAACTGCACCAGGCAGGGACACTCAAACGGGGGAGGAGGAGGGTGAGCGGGTGGAGGCGGAGGGTTGTTCGAAAGCTCCACACGCACGCACGCGCGCACGCGCGCACACACACACACACACACACACACACACACACACACACA